TTTTTCCGGAATTGCAAGTCGCCGTGATACCTCTAGTCGGCACCGCTGAAGATCTGGTACACCGCGGAGGTCACCATAGCCGGGCCCAGTACGGCGGAGAGGTGCGCGGCACCTGCGATCAATATGGCGCCCATTGCCCGCATCAGCATGCATGTTTTACCCACCCACAGCGCCTGTCCCCGCGTGTGGCAGTTGGGGACCAGGAGCTGGTGGTAGTTTGACATGGACCATATCATCGGTATCAGCCCAATCAGCAGCGGCAAGATGGGAATGACGTACAGCATCACTATGGTGCAGGCGTTGTCGAAGTTGTAAAGGTGATCCAGCAGGTTGTTGGTGGTGGACCAGGCGATGCATTTGCCGAGCATTATCAGCACCAGCACGAAGTCGCACAGGAATATGGTTTCCAGTATAAAAATGCGGCATCCCTCGCTCATCAACCTCGTGCCGCTGGCGCACTCGCCCGACACAGGTGTATACACCTCGCTTGGCGACCAGTCCTTGCCCGGTCTCTCAACTATGACCGGTTGTTCACCCACGAATGGTCTCTCAACCTCGTCCGGTCTCTCAACCTCGTCCGGTCTCTCAACCTCGTCCGGTCTCTCAACTACGACAGGTCTGTTAACCTCGTCCGGCCTCTCGTCATCCTCGTCCAATCTCTCAACCTCGTCCGGCTATATAGTCGTAATGGATTGGCGGCGCTTTCCCCTGATACTCCTCTCCTCCTCAACCACCGCCGGTCTATCAACCTCGTCCGCTGTTTCGCAAGATTTCTACGGCTTCAAACAGTGGGCGACCGCGTCCTAACCCACGCTTAATTTCTCCCTCCCTCCACCTCTTACCTCTCCACCTCCATCAGCTTCTCCACCACCACCAGCTTCTCCTTCAGCCTCTCCATCACTCTCCTATCTTATTATCTCAAGAAAATCATGCGACCGTTTTCCATACATAATGTATTTATAATTATTTAATATATGTGTAATTAATTTAAACTTAATTTTCACTAAATGTTGTAAACACATACAAGTCACATTCGGCATAGATATAATGGGGCTGGAGTTGGGTCAGGTCACAGGTGGAATTGGGTCAGGTTGTCAGTATAAGGCTTTGGTACCTTTTATTATTAAACAGTTTTGCGACATTTCTGATATCTAGAATTCCCTGGGTAAGACTGACTTACCAGACTGCTACTACTGGCAAAGGTTTGACTCGGCAAAATGAAGTGTGTAGTGATGTTACTGTCATGTTAAGCTGTCCTGTGAATAATTATCACTCTTCCTTCTACTTGGTCTTGAAGGAGGCCGGCCTCGGGTGAAAAGGGGCTGTGACGATCCTTGTCTGGAACCCGTAGGTGCGGGACCGGGACGTCCACCTCCCGAGGGTCGTGTGGCCCAGGCTCTGCTTCAGGAGGCTGGGGTCATTCATACCCTTGATGGGCTGGTTCTTCTCCGGCCCCGACCACGGCGGTCTCCGGGGTTGGAGGTCCCTGTGCCCTTCTTCACCACCTTCGAGGTCAACCCCGGAACTCACAGTTCCTGCGACGGCGCTGGAACCAATCGTATTGGCGTATGCCTTTCCATTGGAGACTTTCAGCGCCGTGGAGAGGGGGGACCTGCTGCATGGGTAACAGCTTCTTCCCCGAATCAACCTACCCTGGCTTTGCGCCCTGGTGAGGCCACTCCAGACCGACAACCAGAGCGCAACTCCATAGTCTCCTGAGACTGATGGATGCCTACTAAGCTGTCCTGTAGACCAAACCACACAGCAGAAGATGAGGAAGGGAAGGGAACTATCAGAGGGGAAAGTGCTAAGCCATCACGACTATATAGCACTGGGAAAGGATCAGGATAAGGATTTGGGATGGGACAGAAGGGAAAGGAATGGTGCCCAACCACTTAGACGGTCGGGGATTGAACGCCGACCTGCATGAAGCTAGACCAGTGGAGAATTAAGGCACGGGGGGGGGAGGGAATAAGGAAAAGGAGTAGAGGTGATGGAGGAAGATAGTTGAGCTTGAGTGATGAATGGTCTTTTTTTTTTTTGTCATGTTTTCGTGAACTTTCTAGCAACATCTGGAAACTCGAAGCTTCCAAAAGTTGGCGCGTGAAGTCAATAGATGGCGCCGTGAGGACCATTACTGCTCTCAATGAACATTTTATGTTTGTTAACGAAGTTATGAGAGTTTTGTAATGATATCAAGGCAGTGCTATTTTTAGATGGACTTGAGATGTATTTACTATTTGTATTTACTATTTGTGTTTGCAGAATCGAGCTATTAGCTCTTGGATCCCGCCTTTCTAACCAAAATATTTTTACTTTATTATATATATAGCTGTACTGCATATATATTCTCTCTAACACACACACGCACATCCCCAGGAAGCAGCCCGTAGCTGCTAACGCCCAGGTACCTATTTACTGCTAGGTGAACAGGAGCATCATGGTGAAAGAAACTCTGCCCATTTGTTTCCGCCTCCGCCAGGAGTCGAACCCGGGCCATTAGGACTACGACTCCCAGGCCCTATCCACTCAGCCGCGGCTCTGTGTGTTTATTCACCTAGTTGTGCTTGCGGGGATTGAGCTCTGGCTCACTTCTTGTCCACACACATCGGCGTGTGTGTGTGTGTCTGCCGGTGCCGGGAATCGAACCCGGGCCACCGGATTACGAGTGGCCCGGTTACGACCACCAGACCCCCTGAGGTCTGTGTGTGTGTAGAATTTAAATATGATGTTTAAGCGTTTAGTTTCCTGAGAAAGAGAGAGAGAGAGAGAGAGAGAGAGAGAGAGAGAGAGAGAGAGAGAGAGAGAGAGAGAGAGAGAGAGAGAGAGAGAGAGAGAGAGAGAGAGAGAGAGAGAGAGAGAGAGAGAGAGAGAGAGAGAGAGAGAGAGAGAGAGAGAGAGAGAGAGAGAGAGAGAGAGAGAGAGAGAGAGAGAGAGAGAGAGAGAGAGAGAGAGAGAATGAGAATGAGAATGTTCACGGTATCCTGAACATTGTGTGGAGCATGAGTGAGGAGCACCAAGGGCTCACCACGAGTGGTCTGGGGCAGACAACTGGTCAAGGGTCTAATACTAATCTGATAACGGTGACCTCTTTTGTTGTTGATTGGTCAAAGGAATATGAAGTGGATGAATATTAAGAGTTTCTCGAGAGAGGAAGTGAAGCGGGTCAGTAACCAACGGTGAAAGGCAGAAATAGCCTAAGCTACTCTATCCCTTTCAGATGTATTTTAATCTCTCAATAAACGTACTTGACGTAAAGAAGAGAGAGAAGGTGAGAGGGAAGAGAGAAGAGCGAGCCAGGAACCAACAATAGAACATAGATACAATCTAGCGAGCCTGACGAGATGTTCAGAAGGGTCGTAAAGGAATGTAAGGAACAGCTCGGTGGGCCACTTACCGGTAAATTTAATAAGTGAGTGCAAAGTGGTGTTGTGTCCCCTTCTGCCAGGAGGAATGGGTAAGGTGGCTGCGCTATTCAAAAATGGGATTAAAATCCCTTGTTGTTTACGGGTTATTCATGCCCGTGCCGCCTTTTGGGGGGGCTTAATCTTCATCAATTAAGCAATCTCTTGCTGTGAACAAGCACAATATAAGGCCCTCACAAGCCTAGTGAGGCACACTCCACACAGCACCGCTCCTGTGCCAGGTAAGTCCACTACGGGCTCACCATAGCCCGTGCTACTTTGGAACTTTTGTTCTAAGTAGCTGAATCTAAAACAACAACAACCTAGTGAGGCTTATCAGCATTGTCAACGGGACAAGCCTGTTAAAACCGTTAACAGGACTATCAGCCATCCTTCACTTCTTCCTCCCTCTAATTATATCATTCTTCTGACTTTATTCCTCATGTCCCTCAACTCCTGCGGTCTGTTTCCTCACAATTCCTCGACTTCTGACATTGTGAGTCAACCATCAATTCTGCGACCCACTCCCCCAGCCTCTCCTAAGTACCGACACTTGTCGTAACTGAAGAAATTGGGCATCAAAGTACCTCTGTCATTAGAGAGAATACCCTTTAGTAGCCGGAGAGAAAATTAACTTATACGACCCGGAGCGTGGCGGGCATTTTCCTCCGGGTGTTTTTCCCCGCGTTTCACTTTGCAGTTTGGTCGCTTACTGTTCCAGACCCAGTGAGGCGGCGACCCCCACTCTCAAGTGTCGAGACACACACACACACACACACACACACACACACACACACACACACACACACACACACACACACACACACACGCGCGCGTACACACACACACACACACACACACACACACACACACACACACACACACACACACACACACACACACACACACACACACACACACACACACACACACACACGCACACACACACACACGCACACACTCACACACCAGTTCTTCTCAAAACACATACATGAGTTTCTCGACAAAATCCTCTGGCATTACTCTTGGTAAATCCTTCACCATTACCTTAATTCCTCACGGCTCAATTCTTTGCCATTAAATTCTAGTAAAAAATATCTGATATAATGGGCGTGTCAGTTATACCCAACGGCGGTGACATCAGACTCCTGAAAAAAACAGGAAGATCCCCCACCACCACCAGGAAGCAGCCCGTAACAGCTGTCTAACTCCCAGGTACCTATTTACTGCTAGATGAACAAGGGTATCGGGGTGAAATAAACTCTGCCCATTTGTTTCCACCATCGCCAGGGATCGATCCCCCGACCCTAGGATTACGAATCCCAAGCGCTGTCCACTCAACCACCAGGCCCTCCACCAGCCACCAGATAGGTGTGTGTGTGTGCTTGCTTGACTAACAGTGACCACAAAGAAGGTAAAGTTCCTTATACCTCGCCCACTAACCTTGTTGTACATATTGCGTTATAATCTCTTTGTCTAGTTGTCTGAAGGTTACGCGAATGTTCCCGGTATGCGCATACGCCGCTGCCTTGTACTTCTAAACAAACCTTCGGTGATAGGTTTGGAGTAACGCCTCCTCACAGCTGTTCGTCCTCTCTTGACTCAAGCAATTGTTGTTGTTGTTATACATTCAGCTACTCGGAACAAGTTCCAAGTAGCACGGGCTATAGTGAGCCCGTAACTTACCTGGCACAGGAGCGGGGCAAGTAGCACAGACTATGGTGAGCCCATAGTGGACTCACCTGGCACAAGAACGGTGCCCCTGCTCGCTCAAGCAATTGTCTTCGCCTCATATTATACCCCCCATGTGGCCCACTCAACCTCATCTCAAGTCTCACCACCTTGCAATTACTTGGACTGAAGTCGAGCATCCATTTCTCAGATCATCTCTCTAGGAATGTCATTCAAGAGGTGGAATTTTAAGTTCAAGTGCTAAACCAAACAGTAATGGTTGCATATCGTACCATTGTCTACAAGAACACAAAGACGCTAGTGACGGCGCAAACATTCTACCAAGAACTAATTGAGATAGATCCGATTGATTGATAAAGATTAAGCCACCCAAAAGGTGGCACGGGCATGAATAGCCCGTACGTGGTGGCCCTTTTGAGCCATTACCAGTATCAATAGATGATACTGGAGATCTGTGGAGGTGCGACTGCACCCTGCGTGACGGGAGATGTCTCCCGTGATAGATTCATGTAACACAACATTAAATAAAAGTACACCCAGTATAAAAAGCATGCTGTCAGGAAAGACAATTATACACAAGACAAGATTCTAAAAGGGTGGACATTAACAACGAGGAGAGGAGCTCACGGGGAATGGACATTCATTCGGGGATGCAAGGGAAGCTTGATAAGCAGTCTGGTTCAAATGTACGATTCTTGAATTAAGTGTTTGGGGACTCCAAGGCCGCGAGTTCGAGCTCATTGTATTGACTCAATATTTTCTCATAGATACATCACGTTATTTTGATATCCATGTGCATAATAATCTCATATGTAATGCTGTAATAAAAGTGTAATGGAAGTTCGGAGAGATGAACTAGATTCCTACAAAAAAGGCTACTTAAAAAGTACCATATGTCCCTTTTGTTATAGGTGAATCCTTTGTAATCCTCTGAAGCTATTGGCGAGTACCCAACTTCTCTGATTACCTAAGTAAATGTTTTTCTATGAACTAACATCAGAGAAGATCAAAGAAAACCGTTCACGCTAACGCCATCTGTTGAGCTAACATCACCGTAATATAAACATTCGTGCGTGTGTCCAACAACTGGGGTCGCGTGAGTGTAATAACGGCTTATACTTGAGGTTTCCTGCCTTCCTTCATTAGGGTTAGGGTCCGCTAGGGGCGATGACTGACCAATCACAGATCAGGAGCTGACAACAGCCACTGTAGAGCGTTGGGTGTTTGGGAAGAGCCCCAAGTATACAAATTTGGTGACAAATGTGTGGAGACTTGGTTGCATAATATATTTATTTCAATAGTAAAAGAAGGTTTATAAATACCGTCTATTGTGACCGATTATTATGCTCTTTGGACTGTTATACTGAAGTCCAAATATACTATACAGCATTAGTATAAGCGTAGGATATACTACTGCAGTGGCATAACTAGAAATAGCCGCTGGAAAATAAACATGGATCGCAATTTCAAAATAGCAGAACCATGTCTGGAATGCTGGTACCTCATGGTCAACAAGGTGAGTGACATTTATTTGAAGAAAATGTGACAAAGGCAATAAACACACAAACTAGTGCAATATGTAATAATAATAAGTGTAAGTTCTCCTTTGTTAGAAATGCATATATATTTAAAACAAAAAAGCCTTCTGAATCAAATGTTATTTGCTTCTGCTCTGCTTGATTGCTTGGGAATTAGAGTAAGTGTCGAGCAGCTGCGGCAATAGTCCGTTTGTGGACTGTTGAACAAGGAAAGTACATTAAATTGATCGTCTCTCTAAACCCCAACAAATCCCGAGCTGCATCTGTCACTCTATGGTCCATTTTAAAGCCTACGCCTACATCGCCTTGAAGAGATTTTGAGCTCCTTTGATTTTACTTCCTGTCCTATTTTTGCATCAAATATCTCGTTCCCTTGAACAAGTTAAGACTCGGTAATGTTGCTCGTCAATCTTGTTTAAATATTGTATAGATAACGTACAAGTGCTCCCAGGATAGCCTAGGGACGCTACTCGGCGACTGTTTCCCACTCGGACTTTACTAAATTGGCACTGTTTTCGTTCGATTGATGAAGATTAAGCCACCCAAAAGGTGGCACGGACATGAATAGCCCGTAAGTGGTGGCCCTTTTGAGCCATTACCAGTATCAAGAGCTGATACTGGAGATATGTGGAGATGCGACTGCACCCTGCGTGACGGGAGATGTCTCCCGTTGTTTTCGTTTAAATAACAAGTCCCTATGGCTTTAAATAATCCCCAGTACCATTTGACTTAGGTTGTGTGTGTCGTTAGCTACTATATCAAAGGCTTTACTGAAGTAAAGATATAGAATGGGAAGATATTCTTCCTCTTATTGTCTCTGAAATATAATGAAACAAATTGTGTAAATTTGTAAAACCTGAACGGCTCCTTATACAACGGTGCACAGTGATTTTTTTTAATTTTGCTTTCTAGATTTAACCCAATGACCTTTTTAAGAATAACAGTTCAGGCAATTATCCAACAATAGAAGTTAAGCTAACTGAACTACAGTTTCTTTTAAAAATCAGCACCACATTACCAGCCCTCCACAATTCGGGTACTTTGCTCGACTTTAATGATTCATTAATTATGCAAGACGTCGAGGACTCTCTCGAAATTCTTTAAGCATCTTGGTAAATATTTTGGCCCCTGGAGCATCTTAGGACTTTTTATTATTTTTTATAGATTTAGTAACTACGTGTTAGTCAATTTCTGTTCACCTTCCATATTGATTTGTTCAGCTGCAGCCATAAGTGCTTATTTAATATACTACCCTTATTTTTACTATTATCAGCTGCGTGCGACTTAATTCTATTTTCAATGGTAGTCTTTTTTTTCTATAAACACAAAATAGAACACGAAAGAATTCATATGAACTGTTTAAATTGAGGAAAAACCTGGGTAATGCTGGGTCGAAAAGTTGATATATGGAACAATTTACAGGTAACATTAATAATACTTATTATAGATGAATTACTTAGAGCATAGTTTCACATTCACAGCAGTCTCCGTGGTGTAGGGTAAGACACTCGCCTGGCGTTCCGCGAGCGCTATGTCATGGGTTCGTATCCTGGCCGGGGAGGATTTACTGGGCGCAATTCCTTAACTGTAGCCTCTGTTTAACGCAACAGTAAAATGTGTACTTGGATGAAAAAAACGATTCTTCGCGGCAGGGGATCGTATTCCAGGGACCATAGGATTAAGGACTTGCCCGAAACGCTACGCGTACTAGTGGCTGTACAAGAATGTAACAATTGTATATATCTCAAAAAAAAAAAAAAAAAAAAAAAAAGAAAATAAATTTAGAGTTAGGATGTATATAAACAGGAGCTGCCTCCTGTGGGCCAATAGCCCATACGAGGCAGCTCGTATATGGACTGTCTTATGCATTATACATTAGAAAGGGATAAATTAAGTGTATGGAGAAGGATAACGGCAATTTCCAGAATAGGGAACTTCCATGTAATAAGATTAAGGCAGCTTGATTTACATGTTCTAGGAAAGCGAAGAATAAGGGAGGGGATATAACCGAAGTACATAAAAACGAAACTGTATAAGGCCAATTATTGGTCAACAATTTTGGAAATTAATAGGGCTGTAAATTATCTGGATAAAAGGCGTCGGATCTTCAAATTGTTTCAGGCTTAGGTTAGATGTGATCTACCTTTTATAGGCCCTCTGCTAGTTCTTTATTTGTATGTTCTTGGGAACAAGTTTATCCCAGTACTTCTTGGTAGATGGTTAGTTAGCTCGTCCTGTGGCCTTAACCCTCCAGAGGTTGAGATTTCAACAAATTCAAAACCAAACATAACACACATGCGGACAAGCTTGAATGGTCCCCCAAGCATATGTGACTGAACACACATGTTTACGGACTATTCATGCCCGTGCCACCTCTTGGGTGGCTTAATCTTCATCAATCATCAATTACTCTCATCACAATACGGGAGACATTTCCCGTCACGCAAGGTGCACTTGCACCTCCACAGATCTCCAGTCAGATCTCCACAGATCTCTTGATACTCGTAATGGCTCAGAAGGGCCACCACTTACGGGCTATTCATGCCCGTGCCACCTTTTGGGTGGCTTAATCTTCATCAATCAATCAATCAATCTCATCACAATCGACTTGATAATCACGGGAGACATCTCCCGTCACGCAGGGTGCAGTCGCACCTCCACAGCAGGTCTCCAGAACCATCTATTGATACTGGTAATGGCTCAAAAGGGCCACCACTTACGGGCTATTCATGCTCGTGTCACCTTTTGGGTGGCTTAATCTTCATCAATCATCAATCAATCGACTTGATAATGGTGGACGGACAGAAACGTCGTCTCTACTGTCTAGTGTGTGGTTTGGTCAACTTTTTTTTCAGCCACGTTATTGTGACTCCTGGTCTGCACAGGTAATTAGTTTAATGTATTTATTATGCACCCCATACCCATCTTGTTGGCAGAAGTGAAAAGGATTAGAGGCACAAAATGGGCTCAGAGACTGACCCCCATCATTCATTTAGCTAAGCAAGTTAGTCTTGAGCTAGTTACAAAATTCATTGCCCAGTCACATTACCAATGGGCCCGAGACCGACCACAAATACAATTTCTAAATTAAGCAACTGACATGTGGGGAGCAAGCGTCACAATTGATGTTTGTCCTGCACACCGCCCCCCATCCAGTAGGCAGCGGTGGATAGGTTACAATCGCTTACTACCTACAGTTAGCAAACTGGGGGTGTTTGGCAGAGACTTCTGGCAGCAGATAATTTTGAATTAAATATTTTCACATTTCAACATTTGTTACAAAATTATCTGAATTCACGTATCTTTTCGCACTCCATCACATAGTGACAGGTTGTGAGTAATTTTGTTGACACAGTTTACATTTGGTCAGATCTATATCAGCAGATAATGAAAATTCCCAGAAATATTTGTCTCTTAGCCGATCAGTAGTAACATCTAGAAGCCTGCTGATTTTATTGGATGATGATACATAGATGTTTGGCTCCTTTTGCATGATAGTATAATAGATGGAATTACTGGTGTCGAATTTCCTTTGCCTCAAATCTACAAGCTTTTGTAGAAGTTCTTGGACTGGTTATTAACAATCCAAGGTTATACTCAATTTCTCCTTTCAAGGCAGATTCTTTGGCTAAACTGATCATCTCCTATCATGCATTCGGAGACGGAGCCCACATGAAATGGACTGTTACCATTATTAATAATGTTTTTGTATTTGTCTAGCTTCAGACACGAGCACGTTATGTATTGGAGAGTTGAGAGCAAATAAGGATGATAAAGGCCTAGGTTAAGGTATGGGGTTATGGGCGCCATCTGTGTGTGGTGAGCGGGAGCACCTGGAGGGGTGAGGTGCCATTGGTCGCCAGGCGCCCCTCAGTCTCTCACTCTTCTCTCTCCCTCTCACAAGTCACAACACAACATAACCAACTATCACAAGTTGGTAAATACTGTCTGTGTGTGTGTTCCTTGTGTACCTAGATGGAGGATTGGTGCTTTTATGGTTATGTTCCGCATTGCTGTAGTGTGTATGTGTGTGTATAGTTAGTGTATCATGTTAAGAGATGGAAATGAGGTCGGGTCATGAAAAGGTCAAGGCTATAGCAGGGAACTGATGCCAGTGTTAAAACCCGACCTTCATAGAGCTGTTCATTGATGTATCTGCCCAGATATTCATCGGCAAGAGGCAGCAATTGAGCTTTAATGTGTGCAGCAACTGCTTGTATATCTAACAGCTTGTTTACCTAACTTAAATAAATGTGGTTACAGAATTAACCACAATTTGGTTAATTTTTATCATTTGTTGTGGCGGGACAGGAAGCCAGTATGTGGGCTAGTTGGGGGTCACCCAAGCCCAGCTACTGACCTTCACCAGAATTCATCCCACAGTAATTGCCTAATGTCCAGGTACCTATTTTACTGATGGGTAAAGAGAGGCATCAGGTGAAGGGGAAAACCTTCTCAACTTGAATTGCCTAGAGATTGAGCTCGGGTCTGTTTGAAGCCCAGCACATAGACCACTGTGGTTAGGAGACCCCACGAGCCTTTGGATCATTGTACTGTATTTATATACACCTGATGAAACATTTTTTGTAAGTAGCCTAATATATTCAAACTACAATTTTTGGTCTTTGTGCTAATATAAAATGCATGATTCATTGTATTGCAACACTCTAGTCACAAGGAGCACAATATATTTGTGTAAAGTGAACAAGCAGTGACAAATTTTGCCCCTTGTTCTCTATAATATTTCAGACTTTAACTTGCCTTAAACCCTGGTGTGGTTTCATTTATTGATCTGAACCACTGCAGGTGTCATTTTCAAATTGCCTACTCTGGGAAGACGTTGGTGTACAAATGGTTTTCAATTCTCTCGTATAACAATTTGAAATTTTTCTGCCTTTGTTATCGAGTTGAGAGAAAAGGTTTCTTTGTTGCCTACTCTTACCGAACAGCCATTAAAATGAAAAATGAAAAAAAAAATAAGATTGAAAACATAATGTTTAATATTCAGTACTGTATATAGTTTGGTCCCCAACTTACAAATAGGACAAGATGCTAGAAGGTGTTCCCAAGTCTGTTCATGAATGGGGACCAGATTTCCCAAGGGCACAATAAATGGAGGGGGTGGGTTGCATGCCACTAAAATCACTACATATAACCCCCATGCTTTTGGGACAAACAGTATAAGAAATGTTACATTATTTACTATGAATAATGGAGTTCACCCAACTTTTGACAAGCAGGGGTTATTTTTAGTTAATATAATTACTAAAAGTGGCTGTGATAGGTGATGGTGCAAGGGCACTAGAGATTGGCAGGTCACCTTTAATGTCCCTGGCTGCTTTGTCACACACTCTAATAGATAATAAAAGTAATTTTGAGAGCTCACTCACTTTAATTGATATTAAAAGTAATTTTATGCCCAGAATACTTAAAAAGTTAATTTCTAATGATTAATAATGATTCAAAACTAATCATATTTTATTTACAGTCTGCCATGATGGTGAATATTCAGGACATTTGTGAAAATATGAGGCTGGCACGTGAAATGGCCCTGACCAGCCAGTACGAGACAGCAGCTGTGTATTATCAGGGTGTTGTACAGCAAATCCATCGCCTGCTTGCTACCATCCAAGAACCCAACCGAAAAACAAAATGGCAGCAGGTTAGTTTGTGTACGGTTTTTACATGGGATGTCCTCTCAAGGAAAGTTAACCGCCAAAGGTGTCTATACAGTACAAAGATTTTGTTTGCATAATTTAACAATAGTATAATATTATATTATAAATACTGTACAGTAGTCTCACTCACATGTAGTAATTTTGTTCTGGGCCCCATTCATTTGCAAAGACTTACTTCAGCCAACCTTTATATGTTTGTCTTTATAAAAAAATATTATTGTGCTAACGATAGTGCATTTTTTGTACACATTTTAGTACAAAATCACTGACAAGTAATTTTAAACTATTATTTCTTTTAAATTTTGGTTCCGGTCTGTTGAGATACATACTGTACTTGGATTTTCTCCTTGGAGAGTCTTCCAATATTTTTCCATTGCACCGCTCTTACAATGAAGTAAAAGCAGTGCGACTTCACTGTATTCAATAGGAGAAAGCAAGTCTGAGATACGTAAACTTTGACATCTTGCATCCACTTAATTACTAAAAAGTGGCTTGTGAAGAGCAGGGGTGCCATAGGCACAGAAAACACTGTATAAACATCAGAGGTAAACGGTTGTTCAACATCCTCCCAGCGAGTATAAGAAATATTGCCGGAACAACCGTGGACATCATCATGGAGAAAATGATCTAGTTTTCTCTTGGAGTGCCGAACCAACTGGGCTGTGGTGGATATGTGGGCCTGTGGGCTGCTCCAAGCAACAGCTTTAGTTACCACATAACGTACTTGGCCCTAGACTAAACTTGGAAAGTAGAACACGAAGTCAATTACAGGTAAACAGGAGTGTGTGCCTTGCAGGCATACCATGCATGATGATAAAAATAACAGCTAGAAGGGAGACTTGAGTGGCGAATCTCTCCAAGCAGGGTCCCATATGCAGTCGGTGCTGCTGCTATCTTATTCATAAGCTGTGTAAATGTTCTTCCAGACTGGATAGATACCTCATTGTTTACTTAAGCAAAAAATGAGGGGGGATAAATATTGTAGAAAACTACGAGAAACTACAGGATGACCTGAACAAACTGAAAGATGAGTTGTCCTCCAACAAGTGTTTAATAAAGTTTTACTCAAGCGCAAAGTAATTAAGCTTAATGCTTGTAATAGTACCAAATGGATGTGGAAACTAATGGAATCGAATGGAAAAATACCTGAGGGATGGTATCACACTGTACCTGCCTCCAGAAACAAACATCAAATGGATATTGGCTGCATTTGCAAGGTTGATCAACACAAAAACTTCCTTTAGAGATCAGAAAATAGTTATTCAGGACCTTGTATATTACATAGTCTGTCAAACCAATTCAGGATTATATGGCACCAGTGTCAAGGTCTCATTAAATGCATTAAATTTAAGTCTAGAAAAATGTCACTAGACTAGTACAAGTTAGAAATAAGTTATGAGGAATTGAATTTCATATTTGTGGGAAATAAGCCATGGATGATTGACTCGTCAGTTAGCCATCTATGCTTCTGCCATGCATCGAGCCATCCTCAGTTGGCGATACCATGAGGCAGATTGCTTGAAGTTGTCACCCATGGTGGTCACAGGAAGCATTACATCATATGGTGGCTCAGAGGTGGAGGCCTGGTCAAGGACTGGGCCGCGGGGACACTAAAAAACAAAAAAAAAAAAAGAAAAAGCCCCGAAATCATCTCAAGATAACCTCAAGAGGTTGGGGCAGTATTGTATATTGCCAATTCAATATTTTTATCTTTTTCATGGAACCCTTTGGGTGCTTTATTAAAAATTGGCATTATATTTTAGGTACAACAGCAAGTTGCAGCAGAGTATGAGAACTTGAAGGAACTTATGAACTGCATATCCTTATTCAAATCCGACAATCCATCAGCTCTCTCAGACAGACCTTTGGGTGAGTTATCACAAACCTTTTGGTTTGTGTGAAAAAGTATTTCTAAAGATGCAAACCAATCTTTTTCAATATGCCATCTAGCAAAGTTAATTGACTTGCATAAAATAAGTGTCTGTCTATGAACTGTTGTTGCTACTAGAGAATGTTGACTAAAATCTCATTAATGTGATATATCAATGAGAAAATTTTGTAGCTGTTGTAAGGAATTTAACCTGCACACTGGGTACTTCCAAGCACATGTCCTAAACCACTCGGCCACAACATGCGCTATATGCTTGGGAGTGCTCAGTGTGCAAGGTTCAAGTCCACACCATGGCTTTTTCGATTCTCATTCTGTAGTGTGGTATTGACAGTTTTATATTAACAAAAAAAATTGTAGTTACCATGTTGGTTCCAGGTATGTGTCCTCGTGATCCATATCTGACTAGACCTCCTGGTTGGTGGTCTGGTCAACCAGACTGTTAGCTGCAACTGCTTGTAGTTTGACATGTGAATTGCAGCCCAGTTGATTAAATATTCTTTGGAGGCGTTTCAAAAGTTTTTTTGAATAAACATATATTCAGCTAGTTGGAACCCTTATGTTTTAGAGAAAGTGGAGGAAAGTCTTGGGTCCAAAATGATGTTAGAACTCATTTAACATGCCTACTGCACTTCTGCTTTTCAGTGAGGGTTGTAAAATTGTAGCCCTGTAATTGTATGTTCAGGACAAAGCATCACCTAATGGGCCCTACCTCTTTACCTGCTGCCATCTAATGCAATGGCTGCCTTTGGATTTCTGTAGTATAGTACCTCCATTTAATTCTGTGGTGGTTTTTCTACTTGAGGCTAATACCTACAGTAGAGGCACCATTCTTCTATTCAATTACCTCAAAACTGAAATCTGCACCTGCCAGCATGCAGCAGTGAAAATCGGAGGCAGACAGAATGAATAGTCTGGCTGACAAATAGACAAAGTATCAAGGGGCTGTGCTTGTACCTTTATCTCCAGTTTACTCCAATTATTGTACTCGCTTCTTAAGCTAAAGAAATGTTCCCTTGCATCCCTGTGGATCATCTGCATTCAGCCTGCATCCAGAACATCTTGTTCTGCTATTGCACATGCTCAACTTTTTTGTCCCTGACCAAAATTATGATCCTATATTATGTAATTCTATCCTCTTTCCCCTAAAGTAGAAAGATCAATCTCCTTCAGGTTTACCACTTACTCCATTTATCTGTTCTGGAACCAGTTTTGTAGCATACCTGGTTGAAATAGTAGATATCTCAGACCAATGAGTAATTGTAAGTGGTCTGGGTCCTTCTGGAGTATTTTGCCATCTTTGCCCATCTTAATTATTTTCAAGCTTTCCATAATTCACTAAGATCAACACAATCCTATTCCTTATCCATGTGCTAAAGGAAAAGGATTAGTTAAAGTATTGATCCTTGCAGTACTCTGCTTATCAATCTCCTTTGATTTCTCCTCGCTGTTACTTTGCCTCCAGTTTGACGGATACTCCCTCGCCTGTTTCAGTGCTCTTCCCATTATATCCGTGGGTAGTTCTGTCAAGTTTCTTTGGTTTATCTGCTCTTTCTGGCTTCCCATTTCTCAATACTGTACTAAAGAATGTGAATCATTTCAGCCAGTGGTCCATATATTGTTTATACCTGTTATGTAGTATATTGGCAAAAAAAATGGATTGAATGTTTTATGTACACTTGTAGCCATTAACCCTGCAATCCACAAAGCTGGAATTTATGGTTAGCTGCTCTTTTAATCAAACTTTTAAATATTTATATCAATACAGTATAACTATCTAAAATGACAATGCTTCATGTAATAGGCACTTCACTAAGAATGTCATCATTTGAGGAGCCAACACGTGACCCAGATGTGTGGGGTCCACCACCACCTCGTGATCCTGATGTCTGGCCACCACCAACTCCAGCAGATCACAAGTAAGAGTAAAGCAATAAATTTCACAATAGGATTTCGTAGGTACTGTACATGGTACGTAATTAGTGCTAGTATATTTGCAGACCCTCTAGTTTGTGCACCAAGTCAAATGTTCAGCAGTTCCTCATTCAGCTGTTTGATAGCTATAAAGTATTTGAATTTGGATTTTGCCAACTTTATAGGTCAGATATGGTTTGTAGATTGTGTTCAGTATACTGGTCAAATAACCTGGATATACGAAATAAATGAGGTCTTGTGAAAAATTGAGTACACTCTAGTTAAATGTCTCTGAATACTGTAAGCAAGTAATTATCAAAAGAAGGCACAAAGCTGATGAGACTATGTAGCACTACTGGATAAAATGGTCTATGAATTGGATACCCTATAAATAAACTGTAGAATCTCTAGATTGGCAAAAAGGTACGTACCAATTTGCTAGGATAATAGTGGTAACCTTTTTTCATTAACTTTTACGTAAATTAGATTTCCCCAACATCTTGTAGATGAAACATGGTAGAGCTTTTTACATCCAAAAATCTAGTATTGTGTGTCCCATAATGCTGCTTTCTTCAGATGATCCCTGTGGTCTGGGGCCTCAGTTTTGTTCCCTCTAATTTTACTCATTAGGAAATCCGTCGGAAATTTGGCACCAATTAACTTCTCGTGGCAGTCGAGGCTTATTTAGGCAAAGTTAGTGTGTTTATGGTTACCTGATTTTTTTGTTTTCTTTTCCCTCCCCCCCCCCCCACTTCTGACGCACTCAAGATTTGACAATTGGCTACCAAAACCAATAAGGTGGGGGGGGGGGGGAAGGGTTTGGTGGGTAGATAGCTTCGAGGAATGCTCTTGGGTAATCCAACAAGCAGAGGTTTTAAACAAAAGTATAGAGGCTATATATGTAGATTTGCTAAAGGTAGGATACATGTACTGTACAGCTAATTAGATTGATGTATTGCAAAAGTAATGCAAGGTGGAATACTATAGAGGTAGGATTCTGCATTAGTGATGCAGAAAGGAGTCTAGGCCTCATTTAGAGGGTTGTGAATATAATATGCCATTGGTTTTGGCAATCTCTTGCTGTTTATGAATAATACCTGTATTTAGCTCAGCATCTATTCACACCGTTCGTAATAACATCGTTGATGAACAAGCCTTACTGTTATTGTATTACCTGTTTTCCCACTTTCATGGGGGGTGAAGAGTTATCAGCTCGTAGAAGATTGGGGAGCATTTTATGATAATGAAGACATGAAAAATGACACCCATCCATTCACCATATCTTAAACACTAAACAGCAGCATGGCGAACCAGCACCACAACACTCCAGCAGATCCTTCACAGCAGCAGCCCCATAGGAAGCAACGGTGAGTAAGGAAATTGGGCTTCACTCTTAGCACAACCAACACATTCTGGGATTCTCACAGCTTTGTGGCTACATCTCCAAGTATTACAGTATTTGTTGTATTAATATTGAAATTTGTAAAACTTGAACACATTAAGTATAGATGGCCACTGTGTTTAGAAGTGAAGTGATTGAGGCAAACTCCATACATGGCTTTTAAATATAGGTGTGATAAAGCCTGGGAATTTGTGGGATTTTAAACGGTTCCAATATATTTAGTTTTATTGACTGGATTCAGTCGGTAAAAATTCTGTACTTTCTGCAGGTCAGTGACATCTCCCGCTTTGTATTTGGATGTTAGTGTGCAACACTATTCCACCTGAGATAGTACTAGTGTCTTAACAAAAAAGTGCCACCTTCAGTTTGTCATTTCTTGTATTTAAGGGTCTTATAAATTGTCATCCACACTTTAAGGGTCTTGCTATCCAGCCTGTCATTTTTCTTGCAGTTGTGATTGTAGTTTTATTGAACTCTTTAAAAGTAAGGTCATTTGACATGATTTACTCTCATCTTGTTTGATTTTTATTTCTATAGTATGATTTGACTGCATTTTCTATGGTTGCTATTTTAGTTTTTACCCAAAGTGCAGGAGCTGAAACTTGCTTTTATTGAACATCATACTTACTGTGGCTCACTGAAAGACCCGGTTTTCATCTGGAGGTTTGCTGTGTTCTCTCTACATAGTTAATCTCATAAATCTTTGCCTCATCTGCAGAGGTGCAAGTGCATTCATAAAACCTTGCATCCATGTTTCGTGATGTTCCACCCACGAATTCTTCATCAGATTTGTGATAATTCTTTGTTACAGGCTGTAGTAGCTACATTGCTCTAATGACCTCATTGTTTTTTATAGTAGGGAATGTTTTTGTAAAATACCTATATGAATATTGGCATCATTGCAGGTATTGGTGGTTGCTATCTTTTCTGTTTGAAGAATGACCCATTGCACTGAATCTGCTTGGTTAATGTTCTTTTAATCTTTATTGCACTCATCCTTGAGGAACTGCTGGCTAAGAATCCTAGTAGCCTTAACAAATTCCAATCATTGTGCTTTATTTTGTCTATTACCATAGTAGGGCGAGAGTGAAGGTCACATTTACTTTGACCATAATAGGACAAAATGAGACAGTTATTAGATTTGTCAGGCTATTAGGATTCATCACCAGCAGTTCCTTAATGTGCCAGTACATCACTAATTCCTCCTGAAACCTGAAATGCTTTTTCTACCTCTTTAAGGAAAGTAGAAAGGCAAGTATAAACATAAACAAATCAGGTTATCCTTTCAACAGGACAAACTGTAATGAACAGTAGAGGGATTGTGGCAGAAAATAACTACAACTGACGATTGTATCGGCAGAATTAACGTCACTGGCACAGTAGGGCTGTATACTATATGCTTTAACAATTGATAAACTATTTGCAGGTGAAACTTAAAGGTAAATACTTAGGCTTGTAGTGGTGATAATGCCATTAGCACTTGTCTCGCACAGGAACCAGGTGAAGTGCCTCATGAATATTAGGGATGCTAAAGTTGTCACAATAAAAAGCATTTGAAGTGGGCATATAATCTAGTCGTTAAATATTATTAAACCCCCCCCCCCTCTAACTATTAATACTTTACATGTAAATTTGATCATGATCCCCCACTAAAGTATCTCCCATCACTGCACCTTCCCCTTTCTTTACGTTTGTAAGTGTTGGCTCTGCATCAACATTAAGCTCTTTTAAAAGCCCGTACAGGAAAAGTTACCTACAGATAGTCAACCCTCATCTTGGTGTTTTATTCATAAAACATATTTTGGCTTGCATTAATGTACAGTATACTGTTCCATTATCTCTTGGTGTTCAGCCAATGCTGCCTTAGAATAAAATGCAATTTAAAGACTAAAAATATACAATGTTGAAGCTTGAGGAAAATATAAATCATCTACCTACTTAAAGTGCATTATGGGTTGGCTCATTTAGTTACATATTTTTTATTTGAGCTATAATCAAAGGGCATTACAATATTATTTTTATCCAATAGGGTTTTATAAAATTAAGAGATGTAGATTTCTAACAAATCCAAAAATTAATCTTGTTTCGAAAGATGATGAAGCTTTGGGTCACCATTTAAAATTAATGTACAGTAGCTCGGAATTAGTATAGTTTCTATCGCGGGGTCTGGAAATGGTTACAATTATAAATTCAGGTTCGAGGTACAGTATTACTGTACTTACATATACCAGTGTCTATGGATATAGATGCCAGTATATACATCAGTGTATATACCACTGGTCTTATGCAATATGCAGTACCAGTTGCATATATATACCACTGGTACTATACAGTATACAATACCAGTTGAATATATATACCTCTGGTATTATGCAGTATGCAATACCAGTTGAATATATACCACTGGTACTATACAGTCATGCAATACCAGTTGAATATATATCCCTGGTACTATGCAGTATGCAATACCAGTGGTGTATGTATATATACCATTGTATTGTATGTACCAGTTTCTTCAAAAGTGGAGAGGGTCATACCAAGGATTCCCATTTAATTTCATATGGGATAATTTCTTGCTTGCACAGGACTGCCCAGGTGAAGCCAACGCGAGGCCCCAGGCGGCAGGACTCGAGCAAGAATACAGCATCTGGGCGTGCGAGTAAACCAGGGACTAAGAAGAGCACTGAATCCAAGACCGGTCGAGGAAGAGATGATAAGTCAAGTGACCGTAAAGCAAAGAAAGATGGAGACAAGAAGGATGATAAGGTATGTTAAATGTTAACAAATGCTTGAGAAATGGTTTAATCTTTAAATACTAAGCTCATTGGCTTGTGCTGTACTTATAAATGGTGTGTAAAAAGTATAATAGGTAGTTTTCTAACATCATTGGTTAAAAATATTACATAATCTTTTTGATCTTCAGTTGAAAAAATAAATCATGAGGGTTGTAGAAGTGAGGCTTAGGATGATTAGTGCTTCATCTGGGTCTTCAAAGTTTTTCATTCACCATCATTATCCTCTTTCCCACTTTGATGGTGTGGGGACGGGAATCTTCCCTGAGAAAGAAACATGGATACTGTATAGTATCCATGCTTCCTCACACTTGTTCATCATGTCCGGACTTCATCTTACCAGCCACCTGCTCAACCACTTGGGCTGGACAGTAGTGATAATCTTGCTTCATGCAGGTTGGCGTTCAATCCCTGACCATCCAAGTAGATGGGCACCATTCCTTTCCCCCGTCCCATCCTAAATTTTTATTGTGATCCCTTCCAAGTGCTATATAGTCATAATGGCTTGGCACTTTCCTTTCTCCTGATGGTTCCCTTACCTCTCCTCCACCTACCCTCACATTCACTCAAATTCATCTGTTTACCATCACCCATTCATTAAATATGCCCCAAAAATACATTTTCACATATTTTTTTTCCTTCTTTCTCTCCTCCTCTCTTCCCAGTCATCACACTTTCATCTCTTATCCATGTGAGGGTCAGCACTAGCCACTCCATACAGCCTTCTGGTTGCATCTATTTCATAATCAAGGCTTCTATTGCACCTGGCTTAAAATACTATACTCTAAACTTCAACTGCACCATTTCCTCTATCATGCACACATTGCAGATATTTACACTGATCAACAACTTCTATCATTTCCCCCATTCATATTCTTTACGCACACAATTTCCTTCCCTTCTCTACCATAACATTAAGTTTGTCCACATTCACTTTTATCAATCGCAGCCAATACAAATTTTCACTAGTCTACTCAAAATACTGTTTTTAAAAGAACTGTATTGTTTGCATGCTTCTGATTTGTCAAACACACCTTACATTAGGCTTACATTATTACACCTAAATTTCAAACATTTCCATAATATTAATACATTCAAGTAACTAATTTTTCTATCTGATCACCATACTGGAATTCAGATTTTTATCAGTTTATTAATACACTTGTGAAATATGGATAGATTGAAATTACTAGTAATTTTAAACTGCTGTGCTGTATAGCAACAATTCAACTTTTCAATGTAAATGTCCACAAACCTGATGTTTATCAGAATTTTGTATGGGGTTGGGAGTTAGCCGACTTCAAAGCTAGTCAGTTGCTTGGATGTATTTCTTATAAAGCTGTCTGGGTTTTAGAGGTTAGTATTGATACCAAGTTTGTCACTTTGATTTGGAAATATACTGTGATTTTGTAAATACAATAACTTATTCCTTTTCACAGGGAGAAAAAGCTGAGAGCCGTGCTGGAAATGACGATGAAGATGAAAAGAAGTTTGATCCTAGTGGATACGACAGAGATTTGGTCGAGATGTTGGAGCGTGATATTGTACAGAAGAATCCAAGTATTCGTTGGAGTGATATTGCAGATCTAACTGAAGCCAAAAGGCTCTTGGAAGAAGCTGTTGTCTTACCTATGCTGATGCCAGACTTCTTTAAGGTTGGAAGATAATGGACTTTAAAAGTACTATTATTTTAAATTTTGTCAATAAATTTTTACTGCTTAGAATTAATTTGATCTTTTCATGAATTTATTTGAGCACGACTTATTCTAGTGATATCCCACTATAATGTTGTAAAGCAAAATGTGTGATTATTAACTTGATACAATAAGTCAGTGTAGTCCATCTAACTCCTTGTTTAATATTTATCATATAAAGTTTATGATATAGAAATCATTTCACTAAAATGTCCATTATACTGCAAAATAATGTTAAGAGAGCTGCATGTCAGCTATGCCAGTCTTGTTCCCAGGTGGCACAAGCTGTGAGAGCACAGTCATTTCTTTTCAGTATTTTTGTTTACTCGTTTAAATTCACATTCACAAGGCACTGTTTACATAAATGTTTAGTCTAGGCATAAAGACATGATCATAATAGTTGTAGCTACCCCATTCTATATTTTATTGATTTAGTAACAAGAAAAACTTGCAACAGTGGTGAGTTGCCAACAAGTGCATCTTTGTTGTAAGAACATAATTAACCAAAGTTATATAGTATAATTAGTATAGATATGGTTGAGGATTTGTGACATTGCATTTTTGGAGGGATTATTCAAATTATCAAAACAATTTTTTAATTTTTTTCTGTTTCAATTTGTTTTTCATCAGATATTGATAGTGTTCAATACATGATACAGCAGGCTTTACATTTGTGTGTGTGTGTACTTTTAAGATATAATGTTGAACAAAAAAATATAAAAGCACCACATGCATGATTATTAATTATTGAACAAAATATGATTTTCTCCAAACACAACTATAGAATTGTCTGGTCTTCCCAGTAATAGTGTCGTCAAAATGGCTTTGCAGTAATTTTGTAAATCTGAACCTGATTTTGAAGTGTTTAAAATTTATTGTAAATAAAACATTTTAAACCTAGTTTATAGTCACCATTCTTATGCTTTAGGGTTAACTTTCAAAGAAATGTAAATCTGAAAACAAAATTCTTGAGTGAAGTTGCATTGGGCTCAGTAAATTTGCCTTTTTGTGTATGGATAAATTTGTGTAAAATATTTCTTTGTAAGGTATAAAGACTTATCTTCCACTTTAGTTGCATTTTTTTTTATTTCTTTCCATATTAGGGAATTCGGAGACCCTGGAAGGGAGTGTTAATGGTGGGGCCACCAGGCACAGGAAAGACTATGCTTGCCAAGGCCGTAGCAACTGAGTGTGGTACAACATTTTTCAATGTCTCGTCGTCCACTCTCACTTCAAAATACAGAGGTGAATCGGAGAAGCTAGTTAGACTCTTATTTGAAATGGCAAGTGATTTTTTCTACTCTGTTCTTTGTAATTTGTGATAATTTACCTTGCATACTAAATTTTTGTTGTACATATCACATTTGTTATAAATAAAATTATTGCAATGGAGTTTTATTTTGCAGGCTAGATTCTATGCTCCCAGCACAATATTTGTAGATGAAATAGATTCCCTCTGTTCTCGAAGAGGGTCAGAATCTGAACATGAAGCCTCAAGAAGAGTCAAGTCTGAACTTCTCATGCAGATGGATGGCATCCAGTCAACAGAGTAAGGTTCTCATATTTTAAAGTGTGTTGTAGGAATGTGGCAACCCAATCATTTGTGACTATGTGCTTCATACATACCTTCAAGTTAAAGTATGTTTATTGAGACAGGAAAAAAATACATCTCAAAAGGATAGAATAGCTTTGGCTATTAACCCCGCCCCTCCCCGACATGCCCTATGTTCTGATAAATTGATCGGCAGACTTGGCTGGGGACCAATCTTAATAAACTTCTCATGAAGGTTAAATGGTCTTGGCTCTAGAGCTTCTTCCTACCCATGCCTTAGAAAACAAATGCAGTCTTCTCTGTAATTTGAGGGTTAGATGGAAAACTAGAGATGTTGGAAGTGATGGAAAGTTTTTAAGAAGAAAATATCTTGTGTGCTAGGTTTATATGAAACAAAGCCTAATGGAAGTGAAAATGTTGATTGAATGGTCTGAGAATAATAAGAGCTGTATTGGGAAAATTAGTAGTAGGTAGACCATTAAAATAGTGGTGGTATGGCATAATGGATGCCATCTTGTGGCATAATTTAAGGTGTATGTGTATGATATTAAAGTCTAATAAGATTAGCATGGCTTTAGTTATTGAATATGCTCTGTACCATGACAGTGCAGAACAGTCTCAATTCAATGATCTATATGGGACCAACCCCAATTCATTGCATTGAGGGATTCGTTGCAACTGGAGATGCCTCTGTTACATTTCCCATGCCCTGTGGGCTAATTTCACTTGGCAAAATTTTCATTTCAACCTATAATAGACCACTGCCAAATGAACATGTCTGGGGGGGGGGGGAAATGTAATCACATCTAATTCATTTCTCAGGTCCCTAGCCTCAAAACTAATTTTCAAAAAGCAGAGCCATACCCAAGCGCACGAAAACCATGCCAACTCTATGAAAACAAATCATAGTTTGGTTTTAAATATTCTCAATAGTGTTCTCAAGGCTCTGTTTCTTGTAATATCGAGTCCATCAACAAAAATTAAAGTGATTGAAGCCATATTAACTTATTCCCTATACAGTGCTGTACATGTAATAAAAAAGTGTTATTAATATAAGTATAATATATTGAAGTATACATGGCATTATGCAAGTGATGAATGGGCAGAAATTTATAATTTAGTGTGTACTTACGAAAATAACATTTTAAGGTATGATTCAAAAGTAATAAAAGGAATACTGTACCTGAATGTATCTGATCACATGAAACGAGATGAAATGGCTCATAGATGACATTAGGGTATGGAGTGTGTCGAGTTGCATAAACCGATGGAACAAGTGGAATTGCTTGGTAGGATTGGAAGTATCAATAACAGGTGATGAAGTGTGAATGAGGAAGTTGGGTAAAAATTTAAGCAATTTCAGAAAGTGGGAAGCTACTTCAAGATGTTAAAGGAGAGGCTATTAAAAAAGCCAATGGGAATGTTGTATGTTGTACATGGCAGAATGTAAACTGAAACACAGATTAGAAATTGTAGGGGGAAAAAAAAAAGAGCGCAATACTTTGGAAATCTGTTCGGTGGAGTTTTTAAAGAAATGCAAATGTGAACATGATTGGTTTTGCTGGTATGAGATATAATTTTGAAATTGTTCACGACTTGATGTTCATCTAATTTCCTAATACTGTATTGAGATGTGCATCTGAATTTTTTAGATTTTTCATACATAATTGTACAATGTTCATATTGGCATATTTTATATACACATTAGTGAAGTTTATACCTACCAGTTTATTCAACTGCATTGGGATAATTGCAGAAGGTATTTCTTACCTCTTACACTTGCATTTAACTATACAAACACCATTATGGAATTATTTAGTAACTGTACATGTCAACAATGAATACATGACACTGACCATTATGCAGTAGGACTCAACATGGCATGATATTCTATGAATTCAATACAAACATTTGCATCACAATATTTTACACATGAATATTGCTATGTACATTATGTAATGTATATATTACATGTATATAGTGTAATGTATATATTGTGTAAAATATTGCTATGTACATTATGTAATATATACATGTACATAGCAACATTCATTTGTAAAATATTGCTATGCAGATGTTGTTTGTATTGAATTCATAGAATATCATGCCATGTTGAGTCCTACTGCATAATGGTCAGTCATGTATTCATTGTTGACATGTACAGTTACTAAATAATTCCATAATGGTGTTTGTATAGTTAAATGCAAGTGTAAGAGGTAAGAAATACCTTCTGCAATTATCCTAATGCAGCTGAATAACATTTAATTAATTTTTATATAAACTTGATGCAATAAATTTATAACTTGTTAAATAGATATCATAATTTTTCATTTATGCTTTATATTCAGTTAACCGTAAAAATGGATAGGTTGAAAGGAAATGAACATTTTATCATTTTTTGTCTGAAATTTGAAAGTTGCCAAAACTGGTATTTTAAGAAATTTATCTTTGCCATGTCATGCTATATTCCACATTTATTAGACATTGATTTCTTTTACCTTATAGTGCTGAAGAACCAAAAGTAGTTATGGTTTTAGCTGCTACCAACTTTCCTTGGGATATAGATGAAGCTCTCAGAAGGCGCTTGGAGAAAAGAATCTACATACCTCTGCCCAATGGTAAGTAGCTGTTCTGTAGGGAACTTTAATTAGCCACTCCAGGCTAAACAGCATTATCACCTAAAGTAATGGCATAAATTATGTAAAATAAAAAATAAAAAAGTCTAGATACATTAGCTTCACATATACCAGTGTTAAATATCTTAATATGAAATATTGGTTGTCCCTTTCATAATACACGTTTACTGAGAAAAGTTCAGCTAAAATGTGGTGCTCTCTCCTCACGACCATTCTCTTGCTCAGACACCCTTAGTTGCACCAGAGGCCCATCCGAAACTGTCATGTAAGATACCTGGAAAGCCGAGGAACCTTGGGAAGCAAAAACCTTTAATTTTATCCCCCCCCAAAAAACTTGAAAATCAACCATGAGAGTAGGCTCCAGGCCTCCATCACATTCCCAGAGGGAACAGCCACCTGACCCATCTCCTCCAGCTTTACAGCAGTTGGTGCCAGCAACTCGATCTCGAACCAAGCTCAGCTTTGGTTTGATATTGCTTGAGATTTTTGTGAACGTGTCAATTCCCAAAGATATGTTCGCAATGTGATGAAATGCAAAATATTTCCTGAATGCATTAGCAGTATGCGAGATGAACAGTGTAGAAGTGAACTGTTGTGGAACACGGGGAAATTGGAATTTACCTGGAAACATTAGGGCAGCTAACTGATAAGAGCTTGAAACAGCTGATTAGCCTGAATTGAGCCAGAACTGTGATGGTTGTTGCATGAATTCACCTTGCCTTTAGGCATATCTGCAGACACAGGCTCTAATAGGCTGTACAGGTATCATTAAACTCTGCTGCAGCTTGGCCAAAATTAAGTTCCAGTGCCATCCAAAAATTCAAACAGGTAATAAGAATGTCCATTTATAAGAACACAAGCATATTCTGAAAAACTGCAAACAGTCAGGTATAGAACTGGATAAAGCCATAATGCCCTGGCTGGACATGCATGCAAGACAATAAACCCCATGGTGAGCAAAGGAACTTGAGCAACCTCAACTGACTTGCACAAACACTCTTTTTTTTCTATTTTTATTGGCTAACAATACCCAGATAACTTTTGAAAAAATAGGCATGCAAGATTAAAACTAGATTTCCATAATTGGCTATAATACATGGTGAAAAATTAAGTGACATTAGCCATATTAAATTTGGAAAACCTCTAGTACATAAATATACTAATTTTAGAAATGTTAACTGCTGACGTATACAAAACATAACATTCCTTAATTATAAAAACAGAACCAAATTGTAAAAATTGTAAAAACCAAAACAAATACAGAACTGCAGTACTGTATGTGAAGTGCTAGTGTGAGGGGTTTGAAAGAGCTATAATTTCTGATCTTTGTGCTGCTGCTTGTGGTGACATTTTCTGTCGCCAACAAATGACATTTGCTTTGTCTAAGTAACTTTTTGAAGATCAAGGAAACTAGATGGTCATTGTATAGTTTATTGTATAAACTGGAAGCAAATTTTCTAGGAACATGGACAGAAGTCGCTAATCACATTGTCATAACTATTTCCTTGGGAGCAACCTCCCACTCCCTTAGCAGTTGAATGAAAAGAGTATTTCCTTGCAAAGAAAACTGGCACATGTAAGACCAACTCGAGATGTCTCCCATGATTCTGTGGCCTACTTTGTTTCTCAGTGAGGGATGCAGTATTCTCACAAGGTATAAAATGACAAAATGACAAAAGTTTAATTTTGTGCTAATTTTAGTTAATTCTCTTTACAGAGGAAGGAAGGGTGGCTCTGCTAACCATCAACTTACGGGAGGTTAAACTAGATGAAAGTGTTAACTTGGGTGAGATTTCCTTGATGCTGTGTGGGTATTCAGGAGCGGACATTACGAATGTTTGCAGGTAAGAAAGTGTTGCAGCAATATTTTAGTAGTACATACAACAAAAGTTGTAATTTCTTTTAATAATACAGATTTTAGATCTTTGGGCAGTTCTGAATTCTACTAAATCTGAATTAAAAAGTTTAATGGTTTCCATAACATTATATAGTAGTCTGTGTATTTTCTTAATTGCAAGCCTCATTGGTAAATATATCTGCAAAGTTGTGCTTTTCTAGCACCAACAGTCACATTGTTTAACATTACAGTACAAGCTACTTCAGACATTAAGTTATTTAAAAACTGCACTGTACTTTGTCACAAAAAATTGGACGCCTCCATTCCAATTGCTCAATCCATGTACTGGTGTGTGGTTGCATGTGAACAAATCACTGGGAATGTATCATCATTGAATGGAACTTCTCTTGTCAGACGACTTCCCTCTTTTCATCCAGCCTTACAAATAACATGCTTCATTTAACTGCAGACTTAAAGGAATAAAATCAGACTAAAAGTTTTGTTCTTCATGAAATGTATTTCAGGGATGCATCCATGATGTCAATGCGTCGAAAAATAGCTGGACTTACTCCCGATGAAATCCGTGCTCTACCGAAGGAAGAGCTGGACCTGCCAGTCACTCAACGAGATTTTCACGAAGCTATCCAGAAGTGCAACAAGTCTGTCTCTGTGGATGACTTGGAAAAGTATGAGAATTGGATGCGAGAGTTTGGTGCTTCATAGTGACATTGATAATGTGGTTAGCTGCTCTCGGCAACAATTTTTTTTTTTTATTTTTTATAAACAATATAGTGGTTAATACTAAACCTTTGCAGAAAAACTTTCAAAGCTGGTAAATTATTTATTCTTATTATCTAATAGTTGTTCATAACCTTTTCAAAATACATTAGTTTCAGTACAAAATATATAAATGTCTTGGTATTAACTGAATTAACATGTATAAAATGTATACCATTATGATCTGTAGTTCGGTGTCTTTTGTTTTCGAAAATTGCATAATGTTACTACACGCTCATTCAACCTTGAATTGATGATGTACAATAATAAACCCTTTCTGCATAATATATATATGACCCATGTGTGGGTATGGTAGTTGCTGAAGACAAGAATATAAATTGTGTGTACTTTTACACTCCATATTAATAAAATATATTTTCTTTTTTGTATAGTGTTTATTGTATATAATATTGAATACAATAAAAGATATAACTGCCTTATTCTGTGTGCAAAAAAAAATTGACATTTGCCGCCATTAAAATTTTGTAAGCTTTAAAAGATGTCTAAGTATCAGATTTTATGTAAATGGTGCTTTTAGTGTATAAAATTGATATTATATATCGGAAACAATGGAAATGCTGTAAGGGGCAATTTGTACATACAGTACTGTACTAAATTCATAAATTGGTTGCATTTTACTGAATGGAGATGACTTGTCTTGACCTTACTGCTTGAGGTCAATGTATTATTGACACCATCAATAATTTTGTGTAAGGCAAATCTAGTCATACTGGAAGTATAATTTCATTCATTCATTTTAATGTAGTCCAGATATATTAGTATGGAATTGTCTAACTGTGCAACCATAAATGTGTTAACTTTGGCAACAAAGCTACCCAGAAATGTGCCTTAATGCTACTGTATTGTTACCATTTGTAAATTTGCTTGAAGCCGATGCCAAATACTTAATTAAAACTTGTCAATTTTTTTTTTCAATTATCTAATAATTATTAGATTGGAAAAATATGTACATGGTATAGTACTGGAGCTCTTTTAAACTAAGTTTTATTACCATTACACAGTATATATACACTATAAACTTTGATTTTCAAACAAATTAACATGGTACGGTACTATTTAGCTATCACAGATACTTTCATTATTGGGTCCTCTAGTATTCTCACAGCCCTTTGTTTGCTATAATTGAGACAAACATCTTTTATGTATAAACACTTCTATATATAGACAAACTTACACATTGCTGCTGCTTGCATCATAATATAAATCTGATAACTACTACTATTATCAAAAACCCTACAGTCACTTAGTAAAAATAACTGGCTGGATCACTGGAGTGATCTCATGTCATTATATTACCAGATATATTCCCCACAAGATCTAATGTAAGTTGAGGTATGTCTTAGCAAAGACAGTCCACAACATTTTAAATGATCAGTGTGCCTCTGTTCCTTGAGCATCTCTTATATAGCCTTCCCGGTTTGGTGCCTTCATTTGATAATTACTTACTTGAGCATCTCTTATGCAATTCACTCCTTGCCATTAACTTTCTCCCTAATCATTTTCTCACAGCTCAATAGAATTATCTAGTGTTGAGAATGTTGCCATCTCAAAGGGAGTTCAAATCATATATGTAAAATACTCAATAATCCATATTGATTCTGATCCTGGTTTTGAAGTTAAATTATCTTTGTTTTTGCTATTATTTGAAGTCTTACTGTTAAAAAATAGCAAAACACATTGCGAGGAAAATGTCACTACTAATCTGCCACCAACACCAGTTGCACTAACACATGTGAAATCACCTTGATTTATTAGAACTTTTGAAAGTAAAGAGGTTTAGATCTCTAAAGTGGTTGCTGACTGGGTCAGTATGAGTCACAGCATGACACTAGTGGGGTCATGTGGAAATTTTTATTTATATATATACAGTACTGTTGTATATATATATATATAGTGAATTCGCACAAAGGGACTTGAAAATTGAAAAGCTGCTCTAAAGGACGAGAGTTCGTATAATGGGGGCTCATACTAGTCTCGTGTATTTACATTATCATTATCCAGTGGTATGGTGAAAGATATAAATACTTAAAGAATTTTCTTTAATATTTGTTACCCTATCCACACTACACAACATCATGGATCAATGAGCACCACACTCCTGCACCCATCTATTATACATAAATGTTCATAAGGAATTTTATATAAAAATATTAAATTTATTGATTTTTTTTACTTTTGTATATTAACCTTACCCTTGTAAACTAATTGATCTGATTTGTGTAAATTTGAGCCCTTTATCTTAATTTTTGCTGCCAGAACGTTTTTTTATTGAATTAATTTCAAAGTGTACTTTTAACTATATTTTTGAAAACTGATGCCTTTCTGTCCTAGCTGAAAGCTATCTTCCCAAGGATAAGGATTGGGGCTGGGAAGTGGATGTGAGGGGCGCTATTTTCCTCGCAGAAAGGGACTGCTTAACTGCCTCTGTAATTGAAGTGGGAGGGGTCACCACCAGAGATGGTAGTTACTTCTCAGGCTAAACCCTAATGGCTTGGTGCTCGTTTGGAGCACCATGCTACACCCTACGAACACGGTGAAAACCTTGTGGAGCCGCAGCTGCCTGGTAAGCTTTGATTTGAAGTAAGCTCAGAAAAGATGAAACCCTGACCTGCACATCTACTGCAGGACTCTGGGTTGAAGGTGTCGGCCCCAATTGACAGCATGGTAGAGGCAGAAAATGACCCTTGGTCATTAGCAGGGCTGACTATCTCCATTCAAACTTGCATGTAGCAAGAATGGACTAGGCAGGTTCTTGGAAAGTTCTTGCTGTTGTTATAGATTTTAGCAACTCTGAATAAGTTCCAAGTAGCATGGGCTATGGTGAGCCTGTAACTTACCTGGCACAGGAGCAGGGCAAGTAGCACGGGCTATGGTGGACTTAATGGACTTACCTGGCACAGGAGCGTGAGTTCTTGCTATGTCAGGAAATATTGAGGGATGTCACATGCCAAGATAGTTTGTGGGATGAAGTATAAGTGTCAATTAAGATTGGGAAGTGTACCACCCCTGAAGAGGAGGGAGTAACTTATGACATGCTTAACTACATCATGGAGAAAAGCCTATTGTTGGAACCTTACTATTTTACCATGAACGAGACAACGGTTCCCAGTAAATAGGGATAGGAGGGAAGGGGGAGGTAAAGCGGTGGTCATCCTCATCCCTGAAGTCAATGGCGTGTATTGACCCATATCCTTAGTTTTTTGGTTTAGCTAAATTGAGAGAATGAGTGAACATTTTAATTCTTAGTAGATCAGCTGTCCAGAAATTTGTTTGTATTTCTCAAAAGCAAAAGTACGTTTTACATTAAATGTTTGTGCTGAAAATAACTATCAAGTATTTATGAACCTGCAGGCAGCCTTTGATAGGGTAAACGAAGTTATATGAGCTAGCTAATTTAGGAGTTAAAGATTAGGGATTGCCCGAAACGCTATGCGTACTAGTGGCTTTAGGTATTGTTTGTAGTATCTCTATCGATTGATTGATTGATGAAGATTAAGCCACCCAAGAGGTGGCACGGGCATGAATAGCCCCTAAGTGGTGGCCCTTTTGAGCCATTACCAGTATCAATAGATGATACTGGAGATATGTGGAGTTTAACTGCACCCTGCGTGACGGGAGATGTCTCCCATGAATGTGTCCAAGATGAAGATTAAGCCATCCAAAAGGTGGCACGGGCATAAATAGCCCGTAAGTGGTGGCCCTTTTGAGCCATTACCAGTATCAAGAGCTGATACTGGAGATCTGTGGAGGTGCAACTGCACCCTGCGTGACGGGAGATGTCTCCCGAAGTATCTCTATCTTTAAATCCATCACTATGTATGTAATTGAATGGATGTACCTTTACCTGAATAAAGAATCTGAATCTGATTATTTTGGATAGGTAATTATCTTCGTGAAAGAAAGGATCAATATAATAATAACCTACATTTTGTAATTTTGACATCCAGTATTCTCAATAAGTTCACTTGAACTTGTATGTACTTTAATGGCGTTGAAGTGGAAATATTGGTGACACTTGTGGTGGTAGAGGATGTTGTTCTCACTAACCACAAACCTTTTCCTGTTCATAAGCATGTTTCCCAACTCCCACACACACACCCATGCATTCTCTCTCACCCACGCCCCCTCACTACCATGCATTCTCTTTATTGAAATAGTAGGATCCATCTCGAAAGGATGGAGTAGCTTTAATTATAGCCTTGCCCGAAACGCTATGCGTACTAGTGGCTTTAGGTATTGTATGTACTACCTCATCTTTAAATCTAACAGAATGTTTGTACTGTAACGCTGCTGTTTGTACTGTAACGCTGCAACTATGTATGTACTGTTCCTAAATAAATTATTATTATTATTATTATTATTATTATTATTATTATTATTATTATTTCCTCCCAATGTATGGGAAAAGTTGGATATCAAAGAAAATGGAAAAAATGTGCTCGGAACTAGAGCGACGAGCTGAGCGTTAACACAACAGTACAGCCTCGCCTGGGAGGAGCACGACGCTGCACGCTTCCTTCAGTTCACTAGGGCAGTGGCCGGATATCCTTCTAATATACGTTGCTATTTGAAGTGAAGACCTCGTTTTATAACCTACGTGTATAACCAACATGGCTCTTGCTCAGAAGAGGACTCATGTGAGTTTTCATGTTTAGTTTCATGGTGTGGTGAAATGGTACACAAGATGATTAGAAAAAACTCGTTTTGCGTGTATGTTAAGACCATATATACGGTTAGGTTTAGGTTAGAATAAAATAGAATTTTTTTCATATTTTTTTCATGTTTCATATTTTTTACACACACAGGAAATATGTAGTTCGAAAATTCTCCTAAAAGTTCACATTAAAAAGAAACCTCGGGCTTAAGACATACCAAAGAAAATAAGTTTACCACAGGTTTAAACCATAGATTTATAACATACAATTATAACCGGAGAATATTCTGTGTTTAGGACAATACTTATAACTGGGAAGTGAACCAGACTTATTGGAACTATAATATGCTTTCAGACCATCATACAGTATCTAGGTAAGTATCCTGGTGGTGTGTGAGGGAGGTTGGTGTCTTGGTCTAATCACATTACCTTAAGAACAGGCTGATTATTAGATTAGCAGGAACCGCCTCTAGTGCAATTGTGGGAACCCATAACCCCAGAGAAGAGAATAAAATGTGTTCAGAGATAACCTTGAAAGATTCTCCTTGAGCACTTGAGGATTTTCTAATACCAACACCTACTTTTTTATTATTTTATACAATTTGTTTTATTGTATAAAACTAATATTGATTTATATAAAAAAAATTATTTTATACAATATTTTATTAATTTATTTTATTAATTTGATTACATTGTGTTAGGTTACAAAAAACACACACGCACAGCCAAAATAGATATAATTTGGCTCTAGTTTTAGGATTTACTGTACAGTATTTGAAAACTGTTGGAGGAACATATTCGGGTTAGAGACCAGGAATACCTCCTTTGATTACCCTAATCTTTTGAAACCATATCTAATAATAATTGATCTATATTGATTATATGTTTTCTCTTCCATTGTTGGCCCATTAGGTCCGGCTGCCCCCAGAGGTCAATCGCATCTTGTATGTGCGTAACTTGCCCTACAAAATCACTGGAGAGGAAATGTACGACATCTTCGGGAAATATGGAGCCATTAGACAAATCAGAGTGTAAGATTAATGCTGCTATTATTTAAATAATTATTACGATATACAGTATTTATTATTTATTGTACTTTGTTCAGCTTTTAGTAACACGCATTCAAAAGTATTATTATAAAATTATTTTATACAATATACTGTAGTATATAATACTATACTGTATGTATGATGTATATATATATCCTGTGTGTGTGTGTGTGTGTGTGTGTGTGTGTGTGTGTATATATATATATATATATATATATATATATATATATATATATATATATATATATATATATATATATATATATATATATATATATATATATATATATATATATATTAATTTTTTATTTTTCAATTATGTGAGTGTTTGAGATTTGTGTGGTTGACGGCTGTTTGCGATTGATTTTGTGCTTTTAGGCATCCTCTTATTTTGAATTGAGTTTCCCAATACTGTAACTGATTTTTTATTTGGGTTCGTTTGGTTCTTTTTCCTTGGGAAAACACATCGATCTTGATGTGTTTTTCAACGACTGAAGTGTCAATTTTGGTTAGCTTTTGTTAAACAATATGTATGTACTGTATTGAATTTGTATATTATTCTTCATGTAATAATGATGAAACGTTTTTCACTTATGATACTGTATTTTATTAAGTGATAATCATAAAAAGCTCTGATTTGAAAAGCAAGACGAAAATAGGATGATGTAAAAGGTATAAATAAGAAGGACATGAGAGCAGAGTCTATTAAAGTAGATAATTCAATTGGAAAGAGATATTTCATATTGGAGAGATATTTCAGTTGGAAAGAATGTTAGGTGTGAGTGAGACACATCTTAGTGGGGTGAGTAAATGGGAAAATATTAAACAAGTTTGTGATGGGAAAGTTTGGAGTAGGGGTCTGTGTTCAGGAATGGATGGGTTATAATTACTGTATGAAGGGAATAGCTTTATTCATTTGAAGGAGTATGTTTGGGTGTACAAGTGTGTTAATACAAGAATATGTAGGACTGGGATTTATTTATAAGTGCATATTCTACAGACTTGCATAGAGAAAGTGGTAAAGGAAAGAGATGCAGGTACTGTATTTTGGAATCATTTGAACTATTGTGTGCAGATGTTACTAGATGTTGCAGAAGTTATTGTGCTGAGGGATAAGAATGCTAGGGTGGAGAATAAATGCAGTTCTTGGAAAGTGTGTTTGGTGTAAATGGTAGGGGTTTGTGAAATACTTTCTTTGAGCATGAGTTCATATACTTGTTATTATCATAGTGCAGGAAAGAGGGAAATGGTGAAGGAGTAACTTTATTTATGTGTTAGCAATGGGTAGAGTGAATTTTTGAGGAATCTAACCTGTTTTGGTATTAGTAAAATTAGAGTTGGAAGGAGACCAGTGGAACTTAAGAGGATATATATATTGGTTGGTAATTAAAGCTATAAATAGGTAAAAAAAAGGATATATATATATATATTGATTGGTAATTAAAGCTATAAATAGGTAAAAAAAGGGAAAAGACTCCATGTCCAGATGATGTTGGGCAGCATTTGGCCAGGGAATTAGACGAATAGTAAACTAAAAGGGAGTTAAAGTTGTTCATAGTAACACATCCTTTCTCCACAACTCTACTCACTCAGTAGTATTTGAATTAATCAACAATGCCAGATAAACAGAAGGAAATTGCATGTTAAGTGAGTGTATATTTGTTTGAATGGGTACCATACATAACAGTGAAATATATTTTGTTTTTTACAGAGGAAACACTCCTGAGACCCGTGGTACAGCATTTGTTGTCTTTGAAGATATCTTTGATGCTAAAAATGCTTGTGATCATCTTTCTGGCTTCAATGTTTGTGGCAGATATTTAGTGGTCCTTTATTACCAGGTGAGGTTTATTATTTGTCAAAATATTATTTACAAATCATTTGTTAGACATATCATTCAAGTGAATAAGGGAGTGTCTCATCTGGTGAAGGATTGTATGGTCAGAGAACACTAGGGTGAAGGTAAAGTAGCCAACTCCATTTTACTATGTTGACAATGTAGATGCTGACATCAGGTGGCAATCTAGGTTAGTGGCCAGGTGGTAAAATAACAGTTAACAAGAGTGTTTGTGGTATGTAAAAGTTTTTTAATGTACCAGTAAATGAAGGCATCTTCTAGAAATGCCAGATTAGATAGAGGGATCTCCAGTATCTTACTTCTCTCATTAATGGCCTGGCAGGGGCATTTAAAAAGATCCCCACTGCATCAGAGAAAGTGTCAACCTGGCCTTGCTGTTATTTGGTGATATCCTTGACGCTGCTGGACATTGCTTAAGAGAGCAACCAAATACAGTAGTTTATTTCCGAGTGTGAAGAACAGGCTGTGAAAGCTTCTCTTCACTTTGCCCCGTGATAGCAGCTAAACAAATAATGTAAGCTAACCAGTTTGCCACCTGATTCAGAAACGGGTGATAATTCAAGACACATTTTATAAGTTTAATTCCAAATTTTTTCAGTTAAGAAATATAATTAATTTATTACTTGCACTACTACTTGCTGTTTTTGAGAAATAACATACACTTTCCTCTTTACAGTCCAACAAAGCCTTCAAGAAAATGGATGCAGAAAAGAAACAAGCAGAGTTGGACCGTGTTAAGACCAAGTATGGTATAAATACAGATGACCTAAAAAAATAATGCAGCTTAGGAGCTTTCACAATTTTTGTACCTGTACATACAAGTGATTTATAATCCTTGTACCAAATTAGACTATCTTCATCGGATGGAATACGAACTGTAATGCCATAGGGAAGAAAAACTTTCAGTCACAAGTTGGAAGGAATTGATTGATAATGATGATAAAAATACATGCATTCTTTCAGATCACCATTTAATTTTTTAAGATACTTTATTCAAATTAATTATGGCCCAATAATCCAAAACGTAAGGTTGGTATAATCTAAAGTACTGTATTTGTGTTGGTTGAATCTTGGAATTACTGGACAGAAATTCATAAAGTTGCAGGTGTAATTAATCTAGATTTCAAGAAAGACATTAAGTGTGAAGGAGGCCTGGTCAGGGACATTGAGCCCCGGAACTATCGCAAGATTGTTTAATGTAGTTTTCTGGTAATATGAATATAAATTTAAGTGAGTTTTCCCTGCTTCCACTTACCATGTAATGCTTGCCGGGTTTAAAGCATAATCACACACACACATTAAAGCCATCCAAATTAGATAAATATACAGTATACCATTTGTTTTTAAATATTTTTGTTACAAGATTTCAGTAATTTATTGTACTGATAATTTAAAAGACTTTTCTTTTTCCATCTAAAGGCAAAGAGAAAATTTGAACTAAAAACAGAAATATCTGTGAAAAGTAAAAACCTAAGGAAGCAGAAAAAATTGGAATGCAGTTTTTATATTTTGGTGAGGAAAGCTAGTGTTGTCATGAGGAGGTTGGCCTGACACCACACACTGTTGGCCAACTACAGTATTGATGTGCAACACAATTTGTGTGTATACTTGCAGTACTGTATTTATAATCGAGTTGTTAATATTGGCAAGCTTTGAACAAATCCACAAGGGTCATGATGAGGGTTCGAACCTACGTCTGAGAGGATCCCAGACACGTCTTATTTGACTAGGTCACAAACCCTCATCACGGCCTTTGTGGATTTGTTCATTTGATATATCAAGCTATTGTGATTTCTGTGTGTAGTTCATTGGCAAGTTTTAATTATCAAATCCATTATATATCTAGTAATAGTTATCGTATGATACTGTACCTTGGTAAGTCATGTGATGCTTATGGTTTGAAGCATTTTTTGTGTCTGAAGCATCATTTTTTATATACAGAATATATTTTCTGTAGAAATAATCAGAATTGTATGTATTTTATAAGTAGTACATTAGGATCCAGTTTTATATAGAAACATTCTTGGAGACCTTGTGTATTGCTTAACCTTGTAGAATAATGTCGTAGAAAAAATATTTGTCAAGAAAATTGAATTGTTATAAAATAAAATGCTGGATGTATTTAACATTAATACTCTTTGTACGGTAAAATAGTTTTATTGACATGATAAAACACAATAAACAAGGATATCTTTACAAAGTCTGTAATTTCCTTTTTGGTATAAATGAGAATTAATCACTTATATAACAATTGACAAAACCAAAATCATTGGATTTGTTGGCTTGCAGCCACTGCAAATATATGGATATACAAGGCAGCCGATTCACACCTGGATTCATTAGATTCTCAATGTCACTGGATACACTGCTCCCCTCTTCTCTCCAATTAGCCCTACAGAAGCATCGCCTAACAGGCGACACAGGATGTTTCCTACAGCCTGCTGTCTTATAAATTACAGTACACTAACTCCAGTTTAGATGGCTCTGTGTTTGGGTCACTTATATCACCAACGTAATGTCGACTAGGGAACTTACAAATTGGGACCAAATTGAGATTGGGTAGCGTTTACTGTAATATTGTTTTCTTGATGTCAAAACTCTCTTAATATCACCACACAAACATATAACAATTGACAAAACTGTTTATATTCTTTATAAATTATTGTCGACAAATAACATGTAACTTTATAAAGACAGGGCAGGCTGTAGGATATATCATGTGTTAGGTGATGGTCATGTTGGGTGAGGTGGAGAGGAATGTTTTCCAGAAGCACTGAGACTCGAATGAATCCAGGTATGGATCAGCTGTCTTCTATATCCATGGCATGGATCAACAAGTCATCAGCAGTACACCAGTCCTTGATTGGCAGCCTTCAAGCCTGTTGCTCCTGAGAAAGCAGCTGTAGTGTTTAGAGAGATGGTACACTAGCAAGGATTCTTTCTGCTATGCAAACTCATACAGTATTAAGTTAAGAATTTTCCTTACAAATTAATTGAAATTGTCAAATTGTTTGTAAACACTTTGGTGGTCCAGCCTCCATGCATTTGTGACTATAAATGTTCTGGGTTTCCCGGGCTGCACACAAGCCACTCAGCAGTGTGAAAATGTTTACATTTAAACAGGTAGTTATTGTTGTTCAGTTATTAAGTCATTTATTCACAGCAGAGTTACCTTCACAATTCAATTAAGTTTTGTAATAATATGGGACTCTGCCCACTGGGTAATTTGAGGATTTAGCATTCATCTGCAAAGAGCACATCAAGAAACCAGAGAACTGGAGAGAGGCATATGCATAGAGAGCTCAATGTAGAAGCCAGACTCTAGCCCCCGTACAGCGACAGGCTCTATTTTATAGGTACAGTATACATTTAACCATACATGCTGTAAAAAAAATACTATTGGATAATATATATATTTCTTAATCAGAATGAGTACTGCATTACCTGAAGGAAAAATTAAATGATTTTTCTCAGTTCGAAACAAAGAAAAAAATCAAGAATTGTGTATCTTTCTGATAGTTAAAGAAAAGGTGGTACTGTATACAGAATATAATTGATTTTCAGCAAAAACAACATATTATTAATAAGGAAAAACAGGCTACTGTTTAATTATGATAAGCATCAAAATTTGCAACTGTTCCTTTACAACTTCCTAAGTACAGTACCTAGACTAATATTATATCATCTACACATACTTTGGTTTTCTTTCAATAACATTTTAACTTCAGTAACTTCATGATTCCACATAGTTTGATGGACTACATTTGTGGAAAGGTCGGCCATCTTGATTGCTCGCACTACCCTGGAACTAGCGACTTCTTCAATTTCCCCAACCACCATTACATATTGACCTGGAGAGAATAATGTACATGAGAACCCAAAACATAAGCTTTAACATATTCAAACCTGAAAGAAGAAACTTCAAAATACTTGTACAGAATGAATAGATTCTATACAGAATTGCTCAATAATTTTACCACCAATAATTGGAGCAAAGAGTAATTTCTATACAGAATTGCTCAATAATTTTACCACCAATAATTGGAGCAAAGAGTAAGTAATCTTGGCTAAAAGACAATTCCCAAAAGCACTACAATGCACAGGTTCCATTCAAGAGAACAGAACTGCCCGAGAAATCCCAACAATATCCAGAAAAATACCCATTGATGATTGTTGATCCTTATACGTTAACACTAGGCAAGGGATCTCAAACTGAAACAGAGACGAAGTGGACTATAAATTCAATAGCACACAAGCAGTATTGGTACTATGTTTGTGAAGCAAACTGTAGAGCAATGGATACCCTGTGCCTAAACACATTGTCTTACTAAGAATAACAACTCTGAAACTCGTCTGCAAATTTGTTGACCTCTGTAAAGAAGCAACTTTCAAACATAGTGCCAGGTATAAAAGATCAAATAGTAGATACATACGACCAGTATCTTGTAAGATCAGAGTGGAACAATATATGAATGAAAGGGTGTGGGGGAAAGGGTTAAAGCGCTTGCAAGACTGAAAGTTGTGTGTTCACAGAGCCTCCTATAGAAACTCTGCTGTGGCCACCATCTGATAGGGAGCTCCCAGGACAGTATGGTATCTTAAATTTATCCTTTCATAATATACTTCTTACTATAATGTGTGAAATCCAGTAAAATACATCTTGTTTCTATTACAAAAGTGTAACAGGCTTCCAAACTTCTTGTTGCTGCAATGGCCATATCCATGGGATTTCCATAACATTTTGATCATTATAGTAGTCATATTTTTATTAACTAGCCAGAATGTTTCTTAATACAAACCTTCCATAATCCACGAGTTTCCACCAGGAATGTTTTGGCAATTGGAAATGTTGATTTTAAAGCCTCCATCATCCAAGATTACCTAAAAGCAAAGCGTAACATCAATTAAATATCTGATGAACTAAAACTGTGAAGTTCAGCAAGTTGGGGGATATAATGTTCAAAATGAAAATTACAATGTGGTCAAAAGTAAAATATGTCATGATGGATCACCAGAAAGTAGACTTTTGTATTACTGAATTTGGACAAACTAGATAAGTTTTTATATTTGTTAATAATAAAACCTAAGCTAACCTAACCTAACCAAGGGAGTCGGCGGCTGAGCGGACAGAACACTGGACGCATGATCCTGTGGTCCTGGGTTCGGTCCCGGGCGCCGGCGAGAAACAATGGGCAGAGTTTCTTCCAACCTGATGGCTCTGTTACCTAGCAGTAAATAGGTACCTGGGAGTTCGTCAGCTGTCACGGGCTGCTTCCTAGGGGTGGAGGCCTGGTCGAGGACCGGGCCGCAAGGACACTAAAGCCCTGAAATCATCTCTAAGATAATCTCAAGATAAGAAACATAACCATTCTAGGCCTAATACAAGCTACCTGAAGCCTAATTGAGTACTGTATATACATGCATTATACAAGGCCTAGGATTATTTTAAGTTTGGTTTATAGATTTGCTTTTTCTGGAATCTATAAAAAAAAGTATAAAAATTGGTTTACTGGGGCTCCATTACTACATATTGATACAATCAACCACATAGAAAAAGTACAGTACTGTAATATCAATTCAGGAGGATGGGTTGGATAATTAGAGGTGCATATTACCTCTACATTTATTAGATGCTTTGTACTCATGATTGATAAGAGAATAGTTGGTAGTGTTGTATGAGGGCCAAGAAAGAGAAGAGCCATAATATCCAAAATGAAAGTACTTGACTGAAAACATAATAAGACACTTAGAGAAAGGGAGAAATATTAAGAGAGACTGAACATGTATATGGCGTAAAGCAGTATACTATTAACACCATCATCAAAGACGAGGCTAGAATTTTAGAACATGTGATGACCTTGGCACGAATGAATGAAAACAACCAAAAAAAGCAGGATTCATGTCCCCCAACACAATTAATAATCATACTATCATGCACACATAAGTACAGATATGTGTACCTGCTTTTCATTCTAAGGCTCAGAATTTGAACAAAGGCCAGGTTAAGCATTATTTACATATCATTTATAGATATACATTACAGTATACTGTATTAAAAACATAAGACCCTATAAAATTCTATATAACTTGCATAACCTACCTCACTTTTGTTGAGATTGTATGACACTACCTTTCCCTGAACCCATATCAGGCGCACATTAAAGGATATACCATCTTCACGGAAGTGCCACTGGTCACCTGCAATGTATAAAAGAAGCTTTCAGCAATTTATTGATGTAATTATCTTCCAAAACTACTCCAGAAAACTTTTCTATTATCCCTTTGTCAGCAGAACTTAATTTTTAAAGTTTTTTTTCCCCACAGAGGGTCAAACCCCAATTACAAAAATTAAAATTGCATTGTAAAACTCTACTCTTTCCAGCTATACAGTTAAAAACAAATTTCAGAATTGAGAGGTGATTCTATTACAAATGTTCAAGAAACGTGTAAGTATTTCATTCAAAATGAGGTACAATTCAATCTCGATTCAACAAACTATGTGGGACCAACCACAGTTTCAGTGAGGGATTCGTTGCAACAAGAAATGCCTCCAGGATGTATTTCCCATGCCCTATGATCTAATTTCACTGGGCAAAATTTTCATTTCAACCTATAATACAATAGACAACTACCAAATGAGCATGTCTATGGTAAAATTTAACCAAATCTAACTTTTTTCTGATATCTAAGTCTCAAAAGACATTTTCAACATGCAATTGTTGTCAGTTTCATCTTGGGGAAAGAGATTAATTGGCCTAGGAAGACCTTGATAAGGCTAACTACAGGCTTCCTCTCCCAGACAATGGGAATTAAATCAAAAGACAGCCAAGATTGTCAAAAATTGTGTTCACTACAAAAGTTTGATATTTCCGTGTCAAAAAAGTGGTACAGTATCTAAATAAACCAAAAATACCTCCCTCAAGCCCTCACACTTCACATTTAAGTGTAGAATTTTGTCAACATAATCTAGAAATGTTGTGTTGTCTTGTACATCATGAAATATTGTGTGTAAGTGATATAATATACAGTATATGTAATTACTGTATGCATATTACAAAGAATTTACATCACAAGTGTGTGATAAATATCATTTTGTTCTTGATCAAGACTCAGTCATCATCGAGTAAGACCATTCTTTTCCTTATTATTAAACTTAATGTTCCCCAGAATGAGACCCGCCAAATCGTTTAACAAACAGGTACCCATGCACTGCTGGGTAAACAGAGACTACAGTTAAAGATTGGCACCTGGTCAATCCTTCCCGGCCATGATATGAACCCACACCTAAGTGCTCAAAAAGTGCCGGGTGAATGTTTTACCAATGTGCTACAGGGACTGCTATTGCATGCACTGCATTACAATAACCATTCTCTCTCAAAATACATAAACAAAATACAGTAACTTCATTTAATGTGCATGTATTTTAGAAATTTCTTGAATAATGAACTTGATACATAAATAATATACTCAACTGTATATTGTACAACACTCATTTGATTTGTTTATTGAAAAAAAAGGCTAAATTCATATACATTTTCTTCACAGAAAGAAAAAATAAGAAAATTCCGGACTTGCTAAATTTCTCAAAATAATTAACGCTGTTCAAAAATACAGTTAATGCAAACATTACAGAAAATGAGGAACACATACAAAACTGAACATCCAGTTGTTGACATGTCTGACTTCCATTTTACAAGCTTAACTAAGAAACGTGTTACAGTACGTCACAATACTGTACAGTACTGAATACTCCAGAATTACCTATGTTTTGCAGCTTGCATATATCTCGTGCATGAAGTTTACGTGCAGGGTGATCAAACTTGCCTCCTGACATAATTTACAAGCAATCGCAAAATATTGTCTTCTGCAAGGAAAATACCACATCAGATTATCAAATAAAAATAATCTTAACCAGTTTTTAATGGCATAATTTTGCATTTACTGAAGCCGTAAATGTCAAAACTTATTTAAATTTTAAAATCCAGCTGGAAACAAAATCATCAGGGCAAACGGAGGGACATGTGACAAGCCACCAGCTTCCTGTCCTCACTGAGGCCACTAGTGTGTTAGTGGCCCCTCAGATAAATTTAGGTAAATAGCGTCATTCCCAGGGGCTTGTATTAAACAGATGTACAATTCTTTGATTAGATAAATATTCAATACTCAAATAATTCTCCAATTATGATACTCCTGGGAAAATGTACCCAACCATCTCTATCCTGCCTAGGACTTGAACTTGAGATTCCCTATTGTGAATAGAGAATGAACCTAACTGTACTACCGAGACATTTTAACAAGCTAACAGCTTCCTGTTTCTGTCAAGGCCAGTGATAGTGGCCCTCAGGTAAATGCAGTAGTCATCTATATATCATACATAAATGAATACAATGAATGAATTATAAATTGTAATTTTACATACAGTAAAGTTTACTCTAGATAAGCTAACTTTTTCAAACCACACATTAGATATATCACATCTCACACACTTGTTACGCATCATGGCTTTGGTCTGAAAATCTGCATACGAACCCGACCTGCTTTACGATGTGACACATAGCTGCACTATTCTCTCCAAACAGCCCCATGTTGCATGGTCCTGCATTAAACTTAGACCACAATCTTAAGGTTAGATAAGGGTTTATTAATTGGTCAATTCTTATGCTACACCTTAGAAAGCACTACACATTCTCTGATATGATCAAATATAGTCTGCTTTCCAAAAATGTGCAAAACAATTGTTGCTTCAACAATTGTTTAGAGTTCAACAACTTCAACAACTTTAAAGTTAGTTTCTGGAATTAACAAGAGGGCATATACACAATGCAAATCAGTTTACAGGTTTAGTAAATAGGTTCACAGGTTGTAACCTATTAGCATAACATATACAAACCTTTCTAAGCATTTGCATACAACCATTACCTAACACATCAATAAAGTGTACAAGTGTTTCTGTCTGGGGTAAGGTGTCCTGGTTCACTAGAATACTGCACCCGAGCCCACGGAAAGAACCACTGAAACTTGAACCACTGAAACCACCGAAACTTGTCTAGTTTAAACTTATAATACAATAACTCCAATTATATTGTTAACCCTTAAGCTGCCAGTTCATTGCTAACTTTTAAACCGTAAATGAAGAGCAACGGAGGTGATACATTGGTAATGAGCCCCATCACTTGTACAAATTAGACTTGAAAACCTTGGCAATTGCAACTTCCGAATTACCTTAACAAGCCGTTAAAGCCACCAGTAAATTTAACCGATAGTTACCATAGACGACGTTAATCTATGCTGTGTTGGCCAACTTAACTCAAAGTTACTAAGCGTACTGACACGTCAGTAACCCAGTAATGTAACCCTAACCCTAACTTAGGATGAACACAGTCTCCGTGGTGTAGTGGTAAGACACTCGCCTGGCGTTCCGCGAGCGCTATGTCATGGGTTCGTATCCTGGCCGGGGAGGATTTACTGGGCGCAATTCCTTAACTGTAGCCTCTGTTTAACGCAACAGTAAAATGTGTACTTGGATGAAAAAACGATTCTTCGCGGCGGGGATCGTATTCCAGGGACCTGCCCGAAACGCTACGCGTACTAGTGGCTGTACAAGAATGTAACAACTCTTGTATATATCTCAAAAAAAAAAAAAAAAAAATGTGTTAAGACACCACAGACCTGGTGAAGCAGTAGGAGAGCCGCCCACTCCTCCGGACACAAGTCGCATCACGGTCCGTCTAATTACCACAAGCTACACAAGCTTCAGAAAGCTTCCTGGCAATACGTTAGTAATGAATAAATATGATATATTTACTCATTATAATGTTGGTGCTGAATGTACAACACGAAAAAACATAATTTTAATCTGAAAAATTATCTTTTTATAAAGAAATTAGACGAAAATAAAAAGCTGGTGACGCCAAATCAAGTCGACGATCCAACCTTCGGTTAGGTTAGGTTTGGTTTGGTTAAGTTAGGTTAGGATAGGTTAGGATAGGTTAGGTTAGGTTAAGTTAGGCCAGCCTAACCTAACATATCATATTTATTCATTACTAACGTATTACCAGGAAGCTTTCTGAAGCTTGTGTAGCTTGTGGTAATTAGACGGACCCGTCGCATCATACACAATATGATTCACCAACGTATTATACATAATATAAATAAATTAATTAATTTTTATTCAGGTAAAAGTACATATATATACAAGATATGAGTTACAAACAGAATGTTGGATTTCTAGATAGAGCTGGAACAAAATATGCCTGCCTGCCTCACTGCCTACAAAAAAATAAAGCCACTAACACGCAGTGTTTCGAGGAAATGAATTATGAAGCCTAACCAACCTAACCTAGGATAACCCAACCAACCTAACCTAGGTCAACCCAACCAACCTAACCTAGAATAACCCAACCAACCTAACTTAGGATGACCCTACCAACCTAACCTAACCTAGGTCAGCCCAACTGAGCCCAATACAGCCTAGCATAACAATCTATACGGTTTTAACCAACAGAAAACGAACTGTTTAATCGTCTTGTGTCCGAAGCGACAACACCCCCCCCCCCCCACGTATGGGTACCCAGAGATAAGAGAGGAGAGCAGCGTATCATTATTTGTGTCAAGGCAACCCCCAATAATAACGTCACAAGTTCGGTAGCCAGCCCATGTTTCTGTAACACTCGTTACATCCTGCATTATTTAATTATCACTATATTAATACTTTTAAATACTTAACATTTGACTTTTTAGGTAGATTAAAGTTGAAGCAGAATGTCATAAGAAGGACTGGTGTGCTGAATAGAGATGATTTATTAAGTGGATGGAGCCTTTAGCTGATCCCTTCCTGTGATTGGCTCTTGTGTGAATGTCAACAAAGAGTTTCTACCAATGATATGCCATTTATTACGCACCCCATACCATCTGTGGGCGGAGCTTGGAACCTCCTACCCGAGCACAACAACCCGCCTTATGGGTTGCTGTTTGGCTATTTATAGTGCGTTGGAAAAAAAAGAGATGGCGCTAGTTGTATTTTGTAGGGTAATTTGTTATAAGTGTAATTTGATGTCAACAGATGGCGTAAGCTGTATCTTATGGCCACTGTTGACCAGCCAGTTGATAGTATTCTCTTCTGCCGACAGATGGCATCAGCTGTATTATTATTATTTTAATAATATTATTTCATTAATAATAATGTATTATTATTACTTTAAACACTGATCTATACATCTGGTAGCTTATAATAAGGTTTTATACCATGCTGGTATTAGGTAACTAGAATTCTGCAATTACAATACAATACAATACAATACAATTTTATGTAGGTAAGGTACATACATACAATAAATATTTACAAGGATTGTTTGACTTATAGGTATAGCTAGTACATACAATGCCTAAAGCCACTATTACGCAAAGCGTTTCGGGCATGATAAACTTAAATGACAAGCTTAATACTAATTGAGCATAATGAGTAGAATGAAAACAAGAAATGAAAACATAGATGAAAAAGCAGCACAAATACAATTATGTCGACAAACAGCGCTCTTTAAAGAAAAAACAGACATTGGTTGACAATAGAAGGGTAAGGTAGGTTACAGGGAATTTATTAGGTATAGCTTCGCTTTTAACTTAAACTGGTTGAGAGAGGTACAGTCTTTAACATGGTTGGGAAGGTCATTCCACATTCTGGGCCCCTTGATTTGTAGAGCATTTCTAGTTTGATTAAGTCGTACTCTAGGAATATCAAAACTATTTATTTCTGGTGTGATGCTCATGGGTTCTGATACAACCTTCTATGAAGCTTTTGAGATCAGGATTGGCATTATAGTTTAGCGTTTTATATATGTATAATACACATGAGAGAATGTGCATTGACTTAATGTCTAACATATTCAGAGATTTAAGTAGGGGTACTTTTACTTTTTTTATCTACTGTTGAGCGAAGATAGTTACAAGATACGAGCTAGATTTGAAATTGAAATAAGTTTATTGAGGTAAAATATACACAAAGGGATGAGGTAGCTCAAGCTATTCTCACTCCATTAACACGAGCCAGATGGTGTTGAGATTGCAAAAGGGATTATGATTAGAACTTAGGCAAAAAAATCAATGCATAAATGTTCGCAAATATGAGGCTGGGATTTATTTCTCGAAAAGTTAGCAATAAAAGTTCTTTAGCAGTCCTAGTTCTTTATTTTTAAAATGAAGACCAGGGATTCTGTCTAACGAAACAGTATAGAAGAGAGTATATATGAATAAATTATGTTATAATGTTATAAAGTATGATGTTATTACAGAGTGTATTGCTGTGCCCAAGAGAAAATTTACACCACCATGGGAGGATTGTAATGTAGATGTAGTAATTACTCCCTTGCATAAGAAAAAATGTATGAAATAGGAGAGCTGAGGGCAACATATGATTGTATAATTAGAAAACTGCCTACGGAAAACACTCTACATGTATATTGTGATGGGTCAGTAGCTTGGGATGGGAAGGCAGGATGTGGAGTCTTGATCAGGGAGTACACTGACATCGGCACTAGCTGTAGATACTGTTATTGGACGCCGCTTAACTGACAATGTCTCTTCAACGCAGGCTGAACTCCAAGGAGTATTAGCAGGATTACAGGAAGTAGTCAAATGTGGTAAAAATGCTTACTTCTTTATTGACAGCAGAGGAGCGTTAGAGTCTTTAAATAGCAGACGCCCAGTATATCAGAATATTGTGATAGAGTGTAGAGAGAATGTTAAGAGACTAGAAAAAACTGGGTATAAAGTAAGATTCATGTGGATCCCTTCACATGTGGGAATACTGTTGAATGAGGTAATTGATGACATAGCGAAGAGAGCCACTGAAAAAACTCTTGTTGATGTTGTATGTCAGTTAACCTTGAAACAAATAAAAACAAGACTCAAGGTGATTCAGGAGGGTGAAGAAATGATAAAGAGAATGGCAATGGTGGACAGTAGTAACACACTTAAGAATTATTCAATAATAAATACAAATTCGTCCTTCACTTATGGTAAAGGAAAGTCTACTTGGAAGGATTCAATTTACATGAGATTACGATTGGGATATAAATATATCTGGCAATACGGTGTTGATGTCAGTGAAAAAGATAAGGAGTGTAAATTATGTAGTATGCCGTACGCCCACACCTTAGAACATTATGTATTAGAGTGTCACCTTATTGAAAAATATAGAAATAAGGAAATAAATAGTGTACCACATCAAATTGTTTGGATGTGTGATAATGGTATAATAGACAGTATACTTAGGAGCTACAAGAATTTTGCCCCAAGAATGTAACAATTATATGCTGTACTTGCTGTATGCAATGTTAAATGGGATTCTTGTACTGTTATATGTCTATTTGTACTCACTGAATTTGTGCGCCCCTTGAGGGACTTGAAGTAGAGGGGGGTAGAAATAGCCTAAGCTACTCTATCCCTTTGAGATGTATTTATTGCTTATTTCAATAAACATACTTGAACTTGAATTGAACTTGCTACCTGTCCCCTAACCAAAATTAATTATTTTTATTATTAATTATGTACACAGGCTGCCTGTCCCCGACAAAATGAATTATTACTATAGTTAATAATGTTCTATAATGCCTCATAAACAGTGTCAGATCTTCTGCGTGTCTTCTTGCATATTTATATTTACGAGAAAATATACTTCACAGATACGAGAAATAACAGTTTAAAGGTTATAATATGATCTTTGAATACATGCTCTTAAATTCCTTGCCGCAGCTGACAAAATACTGACATTTAAAGTTGGGAAATCTACCGCACCTGGGGAGGATGGAGTAACTTATGAAATACTTAATGAACTTGCCACTATGACGAAAAGCCCACTTTTAGACCTCTTTAATATTAGTTATAAAGAGGGCAGTATTCCCAGTAAATGGAAAAAAGCTATGATCATCCCTATCCCTAAAGCCAATGGAGAGTATAGACCTGTGTCTTTAACCTCGTGTTTTTGTAAAATGATGGAGAGGATCATTTTAAATAGACTTTTATATATAATAGGTGATCAGCTGTCTAGTAATTTGTTCGGGTACCTCAAAGGAAAAAGTACCTCTGATTGTATTATTAAATGTCTAGCTAATGAAAATGATTATTATAGAATTTTCATTGATTTACAAGGAGCTTTTGATAAAGCCAACAAAGAGGTTATTTTATATGAATTAGCTAGTCTTGGTGTTAAAGGGAAATTATTGCGCTGGATAGGGGATTATCTTTACGAAAGGAAGGCTCAGGTGTGGTATCAAGGTTGTATGTCAGGTGTGAGGTCTTTTGAACTCGGCACACCTCAGGGAGGAGTTTTGAGTCCCACCCTGTTTAATGTACTAATGAATAAGATAGCATCTGAGAGATACTCAAATGGGGTAACTCCGATCATATATGCCGATGATATTTTATTTCAGGGCAAAGATATTTCAAAGGTTCAAACAGTGTTGGACAATTTCGGAAACCTGTGTCACCATATGGGATTGGTGGTTAATGAAAACAAAACTAAGTTTGAATGTAGAAGTCGGAGCCCCATTGTTTTGAAAATAAACGATAAAAATATAGAGAATAGAAGAGAGTATATATGAATAAATTATGTTATAATGTTATAAAGTATGATGTTATTACAGAGTGTATTGCTGTGCCCAAGAGAAAATTTACACCACCATGGGAGGATTGTAATGTAGATGTAGTAATTACTCCCTTGCATAAGAAAAAATGTATGAAATAGGAGAGCTGAGGGCAACATATGATTGTATAATTAGAAAACTGCCTACGGAAAACACTCTACATGTATATTGTGATGGGTCAGTAGCTTGGGATGGGAAGGCAGGATGTGGAGTCTTGATCAGGGAGTACACTGACATCGGCACTAGCTGTAGATACTGTTATTGGACGCCGCTTAACTGACAATGTCTCTTCAACGCAGGCTGAACTCCAAGGAGTATTAGCAGGATTACAGGAAGTAGTCAAATGTGGTAAAAATGCTTACTTCTTTATTGACAGCAGAGGAGCGTTAGAGTCTTTAAATAGCAGACGCCCAGTATATCAGAATATTGTGATAGAGTGTAGAGAGAATGTTAAGAGACTAGAAAAAACTGGGTATAAAGTAAGATTCATGTGGATCCCTTCACATGTGGGAATACTGTTGAATGAGGTAATTGATGACATAGCGAAGAGAGCCACTGAAAAAACTCTTGTTGATGTTGTATGTCAGTTAACCTTGAAACAAATAAAAACAAGACTCAAGGTGATTCAGGAGGGTGAAGAAATGATAAAGAGAATGGCAATGGTGGACAGTAGTAACACACTTAAGAATTATTCAATAATAAATACAAATTCGTCCTTCACTTATGGTAAAGGAAAGTCTACTTGGAAGGATTCAATTTACATGAGATTACGATTGGGATATAAATATATCTGGCAATACGGTGTTGATGTCAGTGAAAAAGATAAGGAGTGTAAATTATGTAGTATGCCGTACGCCCACACCTTAGAACATTATGTATTAGAGTGTCACCTTATTGAAAAATATAGAAATAAGGAAATAAATAGTGTACCACATCAAATTGTTTGGATGTGTGATAATGGTATAATAGACAGTATACTTAGGAGCTACAAGAATTTTGCCCCAAGAATGTAACAATTATATGCTGTACTTGCTGTATGCAATGTTAAATGGGATTCTTGTACTGTTATATGTCTATTTGTACTCACTGAATTTGTGCGCCCCTTGAGGGACTTGAAGTAGAGGGGAGTAGAAATAGCCTAAGCTACTCTATCCCTTTGAGATGTATTTATTGCTTATCTCAATAAACATACTTGAACTTGAATTGAACTTGCTACCTGTCCCCTAACCAAAATTAATTATTTTTATTATTAATTATGTACACAGGCTGCCTGTCCCCGACAAAATGAATTATTACTATAGTTAATAATGTTCTATAATGCCTCATAAACAGTGTCAGATCTTCTGCGTGTCTTCTTGCATATTTATATTTACGAGAAAATATACTTCACAGATACGAGAAATAACAGTTTAAAGGTTATAATATGATCTTTGAATACATGCTCTTAAATTCCTTGCCGCAGCTGACAAAATACTGACATTTAAATATATGTATAGGGTTCCATACGTTATTTCCTTATACAGAAAACGCCCAAAGCAGGTTCAGAAACAGTGTGCAGACTGTCCTTTGTTTCATTTCGATTGTTTTGATATTCTGTCGGAGAAGGTTTTACAGTTTATGTTTATCTTTGCAGTCATTTGTTGTGCTTGGAGGTGTGAGGGTGTGCGGGACTGGGAAGGTTGGTGCTTAATATTTGCAGCTCTTCACGTTCTACAACCCGAGGATTATTATTGTCTTCTCGTAATATTGCTCATATTCCAACGTCCATCTATAAGGTAGGCGTTGTAGCAGTAGTCGCTTGTTAAGTTATGTTGAGGGAGAATGTTCTCTTTTGCTAGGCAAGATTTTCAGATTTGACAGAAAGATGAAACTGACTGCATTGTCTCGTGTCATACTTGTGACCTCTTGGTTGTTCAGGATGAACATACTTCAGAAGAGTGAACACAGAGCGAAGCTCACTTTCACGATTTTATTTTAGATTCAGAGTTAAATTTGAAGGTGTTGGATAGCCGAAGATCTAATGAGTTTTATTGTATTCTTTAATATTAATTATTTAATATTAGCCTTCAGTAATTTCTCTTAGCTGAACTTTAGTATTAAATTAAATGTTCTTTCCTGATGTTCATCCGAGACCAGTTGTGTTAGATATACCTCATTTCTGCTCCGTCCTATGCTCGAAATGCTTCATGTATTAGTGGCTTAATTAAATATACATCCTCTGTAACAAGTAACCACTGTATCATATTCTGTATATTTAATAAAAATTTTATTGGAGATAGGCAACTTCAGTTAACTTTTGTACAACACAGTCAATTGAGGAAATAAATTACATAATTCATTGTGTCGGGGGAGAGGCAGCAAGTGTGTATATACCTGTTAGGCATGTGTCGAGGTCTACCCAGGTCAAACTACTGACCCTTCACAAGATGCAATACTACAAGAAGCTAACTAACTCCTGGATAGCCATTTACTGCTAGGTGAATAGGAGCATTAGGTGATAGGAAATGTGCCCAACCATTTCTGTCCTGTCCAGGATTCGAACCCGGAATTCCCATTTGTGAATCGAGAACGAACCTGACTACTACTGAGATCCTTGAATTAAAAATAATATATGGTGTTAAACAGTTGTACAGAAGAAAATTAAAAAAAGATAAGTAACCAAGCAAATTCACCAAGGCAATTATTACTGAATATTAATGAAGCAAAAATCATGACAATTCCATTTCAGCTGGGCTTGCTACTGGCTAGTCCTGTTAGCTAGATACATATATCCAGGCAGATACTCCATTGATAATAATGCTAGTGAAGCTGAAATTCTAGAGCTGCATGCTTCAGCCATTGCTGTGTTATTTAGTATTAAATTAGGTTAGATACAAAATATTTTTGTTATAGAAATTATGGTTTTGAATCATTTAATAATAAATAAATAAATGTTTATTTAGGTAAGGTACATACATACAAGAGATTTTACAAAGATTGATGGATTTATAGATAGAGCTAGTACATACAATGCCTTAAGCCACTATTACGCAAAGTGTTTCGGGCGTTTCGGGCATTTCCTTATGCTCTGCTAAACATGATCAAACAAAATCTAATCTAACTTAACTAAGCATAAATCTTGCTTAATCTGTTTTAACCTATAGAGCCTAGATCAGAATCTTGCTTACTCTGAGGCAGAGAGTAAACAAAACCAACTTTGAAATTGGTGAGAACCTCTTGAGAAAGCATTGGTGCAAAACACAAGTATCTGTTTGAAGATAGTTAGTTATCCCTGTGTAAGCAAGGCAAATAAACATTGATGCAGGGTAAATATTGACTTTGATGTGCTTGGATTTCCCAGAAACATTGCCTTCTGCTGGAGACAATGGCTTTGATATTATTTATGCTTCACAATTGTTTATACCACTCACATTGTATTTCACACTTAGCATTTAATTTCGCTCCAACTATGGCCATGGTTCCCTTCCTTGGAGTTGGCTTGCTTTTCCGAATACCCCATCAGAGATAGTTGATCTAAGGGTTGCGGCTCTCCCCTCTTCAAGCTGACTCTCGAGTTACATCACTCCCACACTGTGCATGAGATTTACTTTTCAGTATGATGTGTAGGTAACAGTTTTCTAAACGAAGACAAAAAATAATATGTTGAGACATTATGACAGAACTTGGGCATATCAGAGTCCTGCTTATTGGTATAGCCCTGATTCTCTGGATGTTAGACTTGTTGCACTTTAGCCGAAGTTGTGTACTTGAATTTAATTTGTTTCTGCTTACAATGTCCCTCATTGAGTGTTTGAGGTCTAGGTTCAGTTTTTTGTCAAGTATATGCTTTTCCAAATGATTCATATACCTGCTACTTTACTGCCATTTGCAGTTTTCCAGGATGTACTCTGATGGTCATTCTTGTTGCCTCTGTCATGTGGCCAGCTGAGTATAGAGGCTCTCTTATTTTTTCCAATCAGTTGTACAATATTACTGAAGTGTAGTTACAAGATGAGAGTTATGCTCGTGATGTCCTGTCTTCCCAGTACTGTCATAAGACGCTTTGAAACTACTGACTGTTTTGGCATCCACTGCTTTCTCACTTGTTCCAACTGTCTACCACTGTTTTCTTTTACCACTAATAGCTCTTGTTTTCAGTTCTGGAAGCCATTTAGTTGTATGTCTTTGCACCTTTTCCAATTTATTAATACTGTATGCTGCTTTAGATATGGACACCCACAACTGCGTCATGTTCTAATTTTTGTCTCACGAATGTCATGAATAATTTATTTAATATTTTGCCATCCATTTATTATTGGTCTGTGGTGAACTTGTTTTGGTGAGCTGCCTTCTCAAGTAACTATCTTTCTGGCTGCAACTGCTTTGCAATCTGGGCTTTATGACGGACTTGTGCAGCCCTTCTCTACAACTGGTGGTGCGGACAAAGATCCCCTGTTCAATTATTTTTAGGAAGTTTATGGGCATCTGGTCTTTGACAGTTGTGCCCTGTATCAGCCAGCTTCATCTGTCTCTCTTGGCTGGCAGCCACCAAGTTCAGCTGGCTTTGTTTTGCATGATGTTTCATTCGCCTTCATCAGGTTGAGTATGCTCAGTTGCTTAGAACTGCTGGCCTGCATTATGCCACTATATTTGTCTCAACTTTTGTCAATTTCTTTCCACCACTAACCTCCCATCTGTATGTGAATAGAGAACACGTTTCATGTGCTTCACAGTTGTCTCTGTTTGCACTGCATATCCCTCACTAGTGGATTTTTTCCAGTTTTGTGGTTGTTCTCTGATCCCCTGTTATCTTTTCCATGATTTTGATCCTGGTTCCCCGATGGGTAACAGACGAGTCTCAGGCATAATGTGTTGGATGAGGTACAAGAGGTACAAGCTCAGGCTGCTTCATTACATTCAGTGCTAGATGTTTTTGCCTCTTTCAATTCATCTGGATTAGAAATTAAATTTCTTGGAAACTATCAACAGTATACCTGTCCTCTAGAGTTGCCACAGAAAATGGTGTACTAAAATGCTTGAATCTAAGGTATCCTAATCTATCTACCATGCATAGAAAACATGAATATTTGTGATATCATATTTTTGTTGTTTCACTCTATACATTGATGCACTAGAGTAGGCTATAGATTGTTTATATAGATTGGCCCCTGGACAGACCAGGGGCCAGATTCACGAAGCAGTCACGCAAGCACTTATGACCCTGTACATCTTTTCTCAATCTTTGGCGGTTTTGTTTACAATTATTAAACAGTTAATTAGCTCGGAAGCACCAGGAGGCTGTTTATAACAATAACAGTTGATTGGGAAGTTTTCATGCTTGTAAACTGTTTAATAAACGTAACCAAAGTCGTCAAAGATCGAGGAAAGATGTACTGTACACATTCATAAGTACTGTACTTGCGTAACTGCTTCATAAATCTGGCCCCTGGTCTGTCCAGAGACCTGTTATTTTACCCAAAGTTAATAATTATACTGTACATTAAAAAAAAATTTCATTGTTTTTTTGTGGCTTAAGTATCATTGCAGTTTAGTCTGATCATTCAGATTGATACTGTTATTGTAGCAGGCAGTCTATTAGCAACTTCACTCATCAACACGTTTTATAATGGGTTCAGTCAAGACACTTGATTTCAGATTTTTCAGCTGAAGGTAGGAAGTGCCTCTGAACACTGATAATGTCTTTTTAATTGATACTGATACTCAGATACTATAATTAAAGACCAGTACCAATGGTCTTGAAATGAAAATACAGTAATACTCCAATACAGTAATGATATATTTTGTCAGGTGTTATACCTGTGAAACAAAATACTGTATATTGGCTGAAATGTTTGATACCACAAAAATAGGTCCATACTACTTGTACCAATTCATCAGTGCAGTACAATACTCAAAAAATACCATATGAAACTCTAAAGATATCATATATTATAAAGATAGCTGATCTTTATATAATTGTTTTTTCTTTGAATACACAATACTGTATCTTGAAATTCAAATCATCAGACTTTTACTTTCTTATTTAATCCAGTTTTCAAATACTGTAGCATACTTTGACATTAAGAAGTCTTCCTTCTAGTTGTTGTGTACCTGGTACTGATGTGTCATGAGAGAGTTCTGTCAATGCTTTCAAGACTGAGGGTTAATTTTCATCGACTGAACTTATGATAAATACTTTGTGAAACAAATTGCTTATGAAAATTAAGCTGGCATGATTCTTGACATTGTGATTGGCTTTCAAATTTCATTAGGGAAGAAGAGATGTATGTTTGGTATAAAACATATGGTTCAGGTTTATTCTTTGGAGACACAAGATTTTCGCTAAATTCCAAGTCATCTTGTCTAAACCTTAGGTATTTGCCTCATATTATCAACCATCGTCCATACACATGAAAGATCCAAGACCTTACAATTCTCTAAATTGGTTGCATAAGGAAATGATGTCGAAGTTTGAGTATTGGTATGAGGTGTATTCTTCGGCAATTCTAGTTTAATTTTTTTTTTTTTTTTTTTTTTTAGTATTTTTAGTCACCACGTGCCAATATGCCAATGTTTTCACATTGGAGGATGCAGGAGACCTGCCTTTGACATTTTGACAACAGTTGATGATAGCAATGTTGACACACAACTTTGTATCCACCACATGCCCACCCACATAACCTATCCACCAGCAACTTGGTTCAAATTCAAATCACTGCCAATTAAAGCCTATACACACCTCTCGTACCTCCTAGTCTGAGCCAATAAAATATTATTTCACCGCTTCTGTTTTGGTTCCCTTTACGGTTTCCTATAGTCAGAGACAGGAAGGCTATTTAGCTTATTGAGGCGCCCCTGAGCTAACTACTGACAACCTCCATATGTCGATAACTACAATAGTTGCCTAACTCCCGGATACCTATTTTCTGCTAGGTGACAGAGACATCAGTTGAAACGAAACATGCCCAACCGTCTCTACTTCACACTGCAATCAAACCTGGGATTCTCGGTTGTGAGCCGAAGACTTAAACTATTTGCGCTACAAGACCCATAGGCCGATCCCTATTCTACTATTGGCTTAATTGTTTTATCTCCTCTAGTGAAGCAGTATAAGTCTTGCTCTTTTTGGTATTGACTAGGCCTAGGCATATATTTCTTTACAAGAATTTTTGTACCAATATAAGGAATATTTATTGTATTTTTTCTATTTTTATTTTCATTTCATTTATTAAGCAGGAATGGAACTCCATAATTCATTTAGATTCATTTAACTAAGCAAGTGACAATCTTGTGATTCTAGTTACACAATACAGTACATATCAATAAACTTTTTATATCACAAGTGAATCAAGAAGAGGCAGTGCTTTTATTTTGATGTTTAGCTGTTCCTGTCCAGTTATGCCTATATGAATGGTACCCATTTAATCATTCTTTATATTGTAAGTGCAGCCGTTTATTTGATTTTTATTGTATCAATTCAAAAATGTCTTAAATTTTTTTACTCCTTAAGAATTAACGATGTTATGTAGGGGTGTGTAAATTTACAGTATTCTCAGGACGTGGTCTGTTAATTAGGGTAAATGACAGACATGCAAATTGATTCACTAGGTACATATACTGACCCCTTCCTAGTGCTATATAGGCATATTGGCTTGGCACTTTCCCCCTGATAACTCCCTCCCTCCCTCACTGGGTACATGCTCGTGTGTTCACACTTCATAATAGGTTTATTTGTGTGTGTGTGTGTAAGCTAGGCCTAAAAAAAATCCCTACTCATAAAGCTTTAAAATTAAGTCAAGGGGCCCTGAAGAAGTATATTTTAAAGCAGTGATTATTAATGGTGCTGTCAAGGCGTAGTCAATTAGAAATGATTGATGGGGAATTATCGAGCATCATAATGTGTGGGTCATTAACTCCAGTCTAGTAATTACCAGACTGAGGTTAAAGCATGGCTGAAGGTGGCATTGGTATTGAACTCGATATGTACATTACCTGATTTTTTGAAGGTAATTGCAGATTTTACTCTTGCAAAGTAACATGAAGAGTGAATCTAGGCCTATATGGGCTACTCGTAACCCTTAAGTCAACCCTACCGGATTGATAATAACTTGCCATACAACCTCTAAAATATGTCAACCATCGTATTAGCTGTATTATTTGTACAGTATTTCTAGATTAAAAAGTCTGCGACCTCGTTATTCACTTTTGTATTTTTAATTTCATGAATTTATTTTACTTATCTTAAGCTGCCACAGAGAAATGCCATGATCTTCACTTGTTTCATGCCGCCATCCTAAAATAGTATTTCTAGCAACTATTTGGTCAAACGTACCGAAATTTTCTGTTGGGCCTCAAAAGGTTAACGTTTTATTTTTAATAAATTAGCCCAAATGGCATTCTATAATATACCAAAAGAATCTTTGTCTAACCTGTCCAAGCAATCCTGGGCATAATATACGTTATCTTAGGTTAAATATAGCACATATGCTATATACTAGACCTAAGAATGTTTTAATTATTTTTAGTGCTCTTTAGAGAAATTAGTATAAAACATGAACATTTCGACCAAATCTGTGAAACTTATAAAAACAGTTTTACATTCGACTGAATAGTTGCTAGAAGTACTGTTCTATAATTTCAGGAAGATGGGTTTAATTTTTTTCTTTGGCCTTTATGAATTATGGGATTGGTTACCACCTCTACATTCTCTAAACTGGTCGTAGCAAAAAAAAAAAAAAATAACAATCCTAGTGGTTCAGTTGTTTCATGGAGTATGAGCAGGAAAATATAGGCCTAGATCTATTGATCGTACATTTTAAAACGAATAATTGAACTTCTCAAAGGAGATTCTGGTATTACACTGTCAGGAGCAGAAACTGTGGCACAGGCTTATCGAGAAACTGTGCCACAGGCTTATCGAGAAACTGTGCCGCAGGCTTATCGAGAAACTGTGCCGCAGGCTTATCGAGAAACTGTGCCGCAGGCTTATCGAGAAAGTGTGCTATAAGCTTATCCGAGGGTTAGTATACCTGGTCATACATCCACTGAGCTGTGTTGTATTTTTTCTGGCCTCATATAGTCCAACAGTATTGCCTTAGCCTAAATCCTTAAAATGTAATATTCTTCTGGGCTTTGAGGTTTGCTATTCATTATCAGCTCTTGGTCCCTAGTTTTTTATGTAGTGGAATTTTTCGTCATTTAATATTTCCGTTGACCACAATCAGACTTCATTGATAGGGTAAAAATTGTCCTTTCTGGATGTTTTTCAAGCTGATATTAAAATTGTCTGCAAATTATGAAAAGAGGTTGGTGACAGCGGGACTTATCAGGGTGTTGCTGCTTGTGCTCTGTATGCTCTCATATTTTATGCATCACGATTGATCAGCAATTCTAAAAGAATAATCAAATATGGCTGTTGAAGCATCAGTTGGTACCAGTCACTTGTAACTGGTAACGATGTTTCACCAAACAAAATTAGGCTATTTCCTTATACAGTAGGCTTGGTATAGATGCACATACGGATTATGTATAATATAATAACATTTGTAAACATGAATAAAATGATGTTAGTGTGAGCGTGGCTGAGGGAGACAAGGGTCCAGTAAGCCAGAATGAATTATTCAGTGTGGTTCGAGGGGGGGGGGGGGGGGAGGGTGATTCTCCACTAGGTTCACCACTCGATTCACAATGGCTCCTACTTTTGACCTTGAATAGCGATTTCGGCTGTTCAGTTTGTTGAAAGTTATTGTTTCGTGTATCTTCGGCGATAGGTTACTGGTATACTGCACTTGTTTCTCTAAAAAGCAAGCGTGTGCCCCTTGAAAGTAACACGGCTAATGTCTGAGCAAACATATAATTTTATTTCTGTACTTTTATTTTGTAGCGGGTACGTTTTTAATACAAGTGAATGATAACCGTTCTAGTCATATAATATATAGGTAGTTTAGGATAAAAGTTTTCCTGTAATAGAAGGCTAATATTACATTATTAATGTAAGTACTAATGTAGGCCTATTTGGTTTGCAATAATATATAATAGTTATTATTAGATGACTTGATAGTGGTCCAGGACGGGCCGAAACATCGTCGTTTCTTCATTTCCAGATGTGTGGTTTGGTCATTATATTTACAATCACGTTATTGGGATTCATCGTCCGCAACCAATTTAAGAGCTTAGGAACTTTACAATGCAAGATTATTTTGTTACAACGTCGTAGTACTTCGGAGGGCATAAACTGGTTAATGAACATGAACAAAGCCGCCATAGTCGAGGAACGTTGCACAGGTTTCGTAAGCTGATGAGTAAATGGTTGATGAATCTTGGCCCTCAGGCTGATGCTGCTCGCGGCCCGTAACCTGCGGTTCAGTTATCTCAGGTATTTCCTGTTTTTAGATGACTAATGAAGCCTGTTGTACCGATATATATATATATATATATATATATATATATATATATATATATATATATATATATATATATATATATATATATATATATATATATATATATATATATATATATATATATATATATATATATATATATATATATATATATATATATAGTCTTTTAGTTTGACTAAAATCACGGAATACCTTAACATAGGCGTTCGTAAGCGGCAAAGGTTTCGCAGAGGCTAGCGCCTTGTGCACACATTCCTTCCTGCTTGCTATTCCTTGGGTACGCTGGTGTCCCTAGTTGAAATTCAAGACATAGTGACCCAAAAGCATGTTTTGCAAAGTGGCTTCTGTAAGCGTTAGTAAAAATGCTAAGCAAGCTATTCTGAGTGAGCAATTCTTGCGCATTTTGTACATTTGTTCATTAGGGTGTTTCATGCTGTACTCTCGAAGGGATGTATGGTCTTGACAGCTCATCCTCCTAAAATGAAAGTACTTGTAGTACAAGTTGGTAGAAAGCACAATTATGTCATGATGAACCACCGGAAAGCAGACTTTTGTATTACTGAATTTGGACAAACCGGAAAATATTGTATATTTGTTGCTAATCAGACCTGACCTAACCATCCCAGGCCTAATACACGCTGAAACCTAATATAGTACATATATGCTATACTAGACTTACGAATATTTAAGTTTGATTTTTTGTTATTTTTTCCGGACCATAAAAATAGTACAAAAAGTGGCTTGCGGGGGGGTACCATTACTACATGTCGGTGCGTTGGTTCCGAAGATCACTGTCTGTGACCAGGCCTCTTGCTTGATGGTCTGGCTAGCCAGACTGTTAGACTTGTTGTCGTTATAGATTCAGCTACTGGGAACAAAAAGTTCCAAGTAGCACGGGCTATGGTGAGCCCGTAGTGGACTTACCTGGCACAGGAGCGGGGCTGTAACTTGTGGGGCTGATAGACGCAGCCTGACGTACAAGAGCAATGCTCAGGCGCACGCACGCGCACACCTTACCCTTGATCCTTGATCAATCCTCGAGATGATTTCGGGGTTTTAGCGTCACCACGGCCCGGTCCTCGACCAGGCCTCCTGGTTGCTGGACTGCTTAACTAGGCTGTTTGACGCGGCTGCTCGCAGCCTGACGTATGAGTCACAGCCTGGTTGATCAAGTATCCTTTGAAGGTGCTTGTCAAGTTCTCTCTTGAACACTTTGAGGTGTTGGCCAGTTATGCCACTTAGTGTATTGGAAGCGTGTTGAACAGTCTCGGGCCTCTGATGTTGATAAGACCATAAGCTAGAGAAACAGACAGGAGTAACTGGTAGGGCGCTCCAGGTGATAAGGGAGTACCTAAGCAATGGGAAGCAGAGAGTTACAGTGAGGGGTAAGACCTCAGATTGGCGTGAAGTCACCACTGGAGTCCCACAGGGCTCTGTACTCGGACCTATCCTGTTTCTGATATACGTAAATGATCTCCCAGAGGGTATAGACTCATTCCTCTCAATGTTTGCTGACGACGCCAAAATTATGAGATGGATTAAGACAGGGGGGGACAGGTTGAGGCTTCAAGAAGTCCTGGACAAGCTGCAAGAATGGTCGAACAAATGGTTGTTAGAGTTTAACCCAAGCAAATGCAATGTAATGAAGATAGGTGTAGGAAGCAGGAGACCAGAAACAAAGTATCAATTGGGAGATGAAATACTTCAAGAGTCAGAGAGAGAGAAAGACCTGGGGGTTATCAGGCCAGACCTGTCCCATGAAGCTCATATCAAGAGGATAACATCAGCGGCATATGCCAGGTTGGCTAACATAAGAACGGCCTTTAGAAACTTGTGTAAGGAATCTTTCAGAACTTTGTATACCACATATGTCAGACCAATCCTGGAGTATGCGACTCCAGCATGGAGTCCATATCTAGTCAAGCATAAGACTAAACTGGAAAAGGTTCAAAGATTTGCCACCAGACTAGTACCCGAACTGAGGGGTAAGAGCTACGAGGAGAGACTACGGGAATTAAACCTCACGTCGCTGGGAGACAGAAGAGTTAGAGAAGACATGATCACCACATACAAGATTCTCAGAGGAATTGATAGGGTAGATAAAGACAGACTATTTAACACAAGGGGCACACGCACTAGGGGACACAGGTGGAAATTGAGTGCCCAAATGAGCTATAGAGACTTTAGAAATTATTTTTTCAGTGTCAGAGTAGTAGACAAATGGAATGCATTAGGAAGTGATGTGGTGGAAGCTGACTCCATACACAGCTTCAAGTGTAGATATGATAGTCAGTAAGCTTAGGAACCTGTACATTAGTTGATTGACAGTTGAGAGGCGGGCCAAAAGAGCACAGCTCAACCCCCGCAAGCACAACTAGGTGAATACAAACACACACACACACACACACACACACACACACACACACACACACACACACACACACACACACACACACACACACACACACACACACACACACGCAGAATCCGCACGCAGACATTAAATCTGCAGATACAGCTCCTCTGCACAAGGGGGGGGGGGGTAGTAAAGCTTTGGCAAAAAATTATAGACCAGTTGCACTAACATCACACAATAAAGTTTTTTAAAGGATGATTAGGAATCAAATGTTAAGTTTTATGGAAAATCATAAACTGCCCAACCCAGGACAACATGGATTTAGAGTGGGAAGATCCTGTCTTTCACAGTTACTCAACTACTATGACAATATCAAAGAAGCCTTAGAAGAAAAGCAAAATGCATATGTTGTATACACATACTTTACAAAGGCATTCGACAAATGTGACCATGGAGTGATAGCACACAAAATGAGGTCAATGGGAATAACTGGTAAAGTAGGACGGTGGATACGCAATTTCCTGTCGAACAGAACACACAGTAACAGTCAACCAAATAAAATAGTCCATGCGAAGTTAAAAGCTCTGTACCTCAGGGTACAGTTCTTGCACCACTGCTTTTCCCTTTTTTATATGAGATATAGACAAAAATACAAGTCACAGCTTCGTATCATCCTTTGCAGATGACACAAAAATCAGCATGAAAATTACCTCTGCTGAAGACATTGAAAAATTACACGCAGATATTAATTAAGTTTTCGACTGGGCAGCAGAAAATGACATGATGTTTAATTAACAGTGATAAATTCCAGGTACTCAGGTACGGTAAAAATGAGAACCTTAAACATAATAAGAGTACAAAACACAATCAAATTTGCTCATAATTGGAAATCAACATGTAAAGGATTTGGGAATAAAGATGTCTGACGACCTAACGTTTTGGGAGTATAACCAAGCAATTATTGCGTCACCCAGAAAAATAATGGGATAGATTCCTGAAACTTTCAAATCCAGGGATACCATCACAATGGTTGTACTATTCCAATCACTTGAGCTGTTCCGTCTTGAGTACTGCTCAGTATTCACTTCCCCCTTCAGAGCAGGAGAGATTCCTGAAATAGAATAGAGAACATATACGGCATACACTGACGCGATAAAGCACCAAAATTATTGGGATCGTCTCAAAGCTCTCCAAATGTACTCACCAGAAAGGAGACGAGAGAGATATCAAATAATAT